CACCCCCACTCTCTTCTTGGATCTTACTGTGTCAGCTCTGCACATCGTGGACCCTCCCTGCCACACAGGACCATCTGGAGCCTGCGACCAGCTCAACCTTGGAAGCCCCTATGCCCTCTCCTTGAGGTGAGTCTGGGGCCAACACCCCCATCTTTTCCTTGGAATTTCCTGGGCTGTCTCTGCATCTTGACCCAGCTATGCACTCTGCTTGAGTGGCCCTGCCCTGGCATGCTGGACCATCTGGAGCCTGCCCTCCTTTCAGCCTTGTCCCTCCCATACCCTCTGCTCGAGGTGTTCGGCCAACTCAAGTCCAACACCTGCCACCCCCTCCTTAGAACTTCCTGGGTCAGTCTGGGCATAGTGGATGCTCCCCACCACATGGGACCAAGTGGAGCCTGCCCTCACCTCAATCTTGGGCCCCCTATAACCTCTGCTTGAGACCTCCAAGAGAACTTGGATCATACAGAGTTACCGACATCAAAGTTCTGACCCACCTACACCCACTGGGAGAGGAGAGGAGAGTGAGAGACCCCACTTGCACCCACTGGAAGAAGGGATGGGAACGTGCACGTTCAATAATAGAAAGGCAAATATGACACCACCAGAATCTAGGGTCTCTACACCAAGACCTGAAAATAGCAATGCAGATGAAGCAGAAGAGAATGACCTTAAAAACGACTTCATGAAAATGATAGAAGCTCTCAAAGGTGATAAGAGAAAATTCCTTAAAGAAATGGAAGAAAAACCAAAAAAATTGGAAGAAATAGAGGAAAAGATGAACCAAAAAATGCAATAAGACAACAAAAGGAGATCAAGGGGATACAAATAGGAAAGGAAGAAGTCAAACTTTCACTATTTTCAGATGATATGATAGTTTACATTAATGACCCAAAAAACTCTACCAAGGAACTCCTATAGCTGATAAACACCTTCAGCAAAGTGGCAGAACACAAAATTAACTCAAAGAAACTATAGACAGATGACAAAGGGGCTGAGAAAGAAATCAGAGAAGCATTACCCTTTATAATAGCCACAAACAACATAAAATGTCTTGGGATAATGCTAACCAAACAAGTGAAAGACCTGTATAGCAAGAACTTTGAGTCTTTCAAGAAAGAAAGAAGATACCAGAAAATGGAAAGATCTCCCATGCTCATGGATAGGTAGGATTAACAGTGAAAATGTCAATCTTGCCAAAAGCAATCCACAGACTCAGTGTAATTACTGTCAAAATCCCAGCACAATTCTTCACAGACCTTGAAAGGACAATACTCAACTTTATATGGAAAATTAAAAAATAAAAATAAAAAAGGACCCAGGATAGCCAAAAATAATCCTGTACAATAAAGGAACTTCAGGATGCATCACCATCCCTGACTTCAAGCTCTAATATAGAGCTATAGTTCTGAAAATAGCTTGATATTGGCACAAAAATAGATAAGTAGACCAATGGAATCGAATAGAAAATCCTGATATTAACCCACACACCTACAAACACCTGATTTTTGACAAAGCAGCTAAAATTATACAATGGATAAAAAGCAACTTCAACAAATGGTGCTGGCACAACTGGATGATGGTGTTTAGAAGACTGTAGATAGTCCCATGTCTATCGTCATGAGCAAAACTTAAGTCCAAATGGTTCAAAGACCTCAACATAAATCCAGCCACACTGGGAGGTACCCTTGAACAAATTGGTTTAGGAATCTGCTTCCTGAACATAACACCAATAGCAACAACAAGTAATAAATGGGACCTCCTGAAACTAAACTTCTGTAAAGCAAAGGACACAGTCAATAAGACAAAATGGCAGCTCACAGACTGGGAAAAGATCTTCACCAACCCTACATCTGACAAAGGGCTGATTTCCAAAATAAACAAAGACCTCAAGAAACTAGTTACTAAAACACCAAATAATCCAATTAAAAAGTGGGGTATAGAACTAAATAGAGAATTCTCAATAAAGGAATCTAAAATTGCTGAAAGACACTTAAGAAAGTACTTAACATCCTTATCCATCAGGAAAATGCAAATCAAAACAACTCTGAGATACCACCTTACTCCTGTCAGAATGGCTAAAATCAAAAACAGAAATGACAGTTTATGCTGGAGAGGATGTGGAAAAGGGGGAACACTCCTCCACTGCTGGTGGGAGTGCAAACTTGTACAACCAATTTGGAGAACAGTATGGCTGTTCCTCAGGAAAATGGGAATCACTCTACCATAAGATCCAGCATTTCCACTCTTAGGCATATACCCAAAAGATGCACATTCATGCAACAAAGACATCTGTTCAACTATGTTCATAGCAGCATTATTTGTAAGAGCCAGAACCTGAAAGCAACCTAGATACCCCTAAACTGGAGACTGGATAAAGAAAATGAGGTACATTACACAATGAAGTGCTACTCAGCAGAAAACAAAACAAAACAAAAAATGACAATAAAATCTTGAAATTTGCAGGCAAATGGATGGAACTAGAAGAAACCCAGTCACAAAATGACAAACATGGTATGTACTCACTCATGTATGGGTTTTAGACAGAGCAAAGGATCACTAGCCTACACTCCACACCAGCAGAGGAGCTAGGAAAAAAGGAGGAACCTCAGAGAGACATATATGGTTCCTCACAGATGGGGAAAGGAACAAGATCTCCTAAGCAAATTCAGAGTGGTGCCAGGGAGAGGGGAGACGGAGTCAGGAGAAAGAGTATGGGAGAAGAGGAGGGGAGAGGAGAATATGAGGGTGCAGGAAGATTGAGTCATGGGAAGAATAGAGGAGAGCAAGAAAGGAGATGCCATAAGAGAGGGAGCCATTATAGGTTTAAAGAGAAGTTTGGCCTTTGGGAAATGTCCAGAGGCCTATATGGATGACACCAACTAACAATCTAAGCATAGTGGAGAGGCTACCTTAAATGCCCTTCCCCGACAATGAGATTGATGATTACCTTATATGATATCCTAGAGCCCTCATGCAGTAGCTAACAGAAGCAGAAGCAGACATCCACACCTAAACACTGAGCCCAACTCCTGGAATCCAGTTGCAGAGAGGGAGGAGTGATGAGCAAAGGGGTCAAGACTAGTCTGGAGAAACGCACAGAAATAGCTAACCTCAACAAGGGGAGCTCATGGACACCAGACCCATAGGTGGAAAACCGGCATAGGACCGACCCAGACCCCCTGAATGTGGGTCTCAGTTAGGAGGCCTGGGAAGTCTATGGGACCTCTTACAATGGAACCAGGATGTATCCCTAGTGCAGGAACGGACTTAGGGAGCCCATTCCCCATGAAGGGATACTCCCTTAGCCTAGAGACACAGGGGAGGGCCTAGGCCCTATCCCAAATGACTCGACAGACTTTAATGATCCCTCGTGGAATGCCTCACCCTCCCTGGGGAGTGGGTGGGGGATGGAATGGGGGGGGTCTGTGGGGGAACATAGGAGGATGGGAGGGACAGGGAACTGGGATATATATGTAAAATTAAAAAAATTTAAACACCCTCCAGTTTTATTGGTACTGAAATATTGATGTTCTTGTTTTTAATAGATGTATGGAGAAAATAAAGCAAATAGCTTGGTTTTTTCCTATTTACTTCCTGTGTGTGAGAGTGTGTGCGTGGGTGCATGCCTGTAGCCCTGGGCATCAGAAGAAAATCAGATTCCCTGGTACTGGAGTTATGGATGACTGTAGCGGTTGGGAATTGAACCCTGGTCCTCTGTTAGAGTAACAAATGCTCTCAACCACTGAGCCATCTCTCCAGCCTCAGTTTAAGATTTTAGAAAACAGGTTGTTGGTGTCAGGGAAAAGTAAAATTAATGCTAGCTCTTACTCTGAGCACTATTGCTGAGGCAGAATGTCCAACACTGGACAGTTTATAAGGAAGACAGGTTTGTTCTAGCCCTGGTTTCTGGAAGCTCTTAACCTCTGTGCCATCTCACCAGCCCCTGTCAAGCAGTATTCTTCAAAAAAGAAAATGTATGCCAGGTATGGTGGTATATACTCTTAAACCCAGAACTCAGGAAATAGAAGCTGATAGATGTCTATCAGTTCAAGGACAGTAATTTCAAACTAGCTATAGTTATATAGTGAGACTCTGTCACAGAAAAGGAACGGGGTAAGGGTAGGGTGGAGGAAGGAGGTAGGGGAGGAAGGAGAAAAGGAAGGAACGAGGACGGAAGGAAGGCAGGAAGAAGGAAGGAAGGAAGGACAGTGTGTGCACACACACATGCTTTGTGTCTACCGATGAAATAAGAGGTAAAACACTGTCTGAAATTTGCTTGAAGACACCCAGGAAGCCAGGAGATGCTACCCACTTACCACTAAAGCTCTTGCTGGAGTTGTGGAGATGTAAGTTATTCTCTTCTATTTACAAATTTGGCAAGTTTTCACAATGAAAATGTTTTATAGCCCAACACTCAGGAGGCAGAAGCTGGCAGAGATCTGTAAGTTTGAGTTCAGCCTGGTCTACAAGGAGAGTTGTGGGGCAGCTAAGGATACACAGAGAAATCCAGCCTTAGAGGGGAGGGGGACAATGTGTTTGCACGAACAGTATAATCTAGGAAAGTATAAAGTCTTAAAATGAATTTGATCTTTATAATGTAGCGTGAGAGCCAAAGTTACCTTATTTTTCAAGCATGTAGATAAGTATTTCTAAACAACAACAACAACAAAAAAATGGTTATTTGATGTCAAGGGCACTGGACTCCAGGGATGTGATTCAGCAGCCAGACCTCTCCCTAAACAAGCTGAGAGGATTCAAAGCATCTGGAAACCACTTCCAATAAGCCATCAAAGGGATGGCTGGGGATCTCCTGATCTGTAGAGCTGCTATGCTGCGCAACCCTTTCATCCATGCCAAAAGAGATCAGTGTTTCTCTCACTTGGCACACTCAGTAGGGGTCAAGAAAGTTTTCCTGTTAAGAACTGGCAGCACTGGACCTTCCAGAACTTTCTGGGTGGGTGGAGGCCTGAGGCTCAGGCAAGCCACTCCCCTCAGCCTCAGGCAACTTATTCTCTCCCAGGGCTGGAGCTGCTCAGGACCTGCTGGGACCTCAGGAGTCATGGACCCCCCACAGCAGCTGCTCTTCTTTGTGAATGGCAGGAAGGTGAGCTCCCTCTGGCTGCCCAGGCAGGCCAGGCCCTGGCCTTTCTAATCCTGTGCCCTGCATTTTCCCTGAGTCCTGGGCCTGCACATAGGCCTCTCCCTTCCCAACATTCCCTTTCCCTAGCCTTCCCATCATAGTGGGATACCCATGCCCATCCATCCCTCAAACAGCAGTGAAAGAGAGCCTTGTTCTTAGCCATCCAGCTCTGTGAACCCAGACCTCCCCACCCTCAAAGCTCTGGCTAATGATATCTTCCAACAGATTCGGATAGCCTCAATTCTCAGCCTCCCTGGGTGAGCAATACCCAGTAGTGACAGGACCACAGTGATGTACTTACTGATTGGTGAAGTCAAACCAAGGTCCTAGAATAGCACAGCTTGCCAGAACCAGGCTCTAGGGACCCCTATTGAATGTGACAGTCTGTTTTGTTTTGTTTGTTTGTATGCTATGGCTCAGAAGGCCTTTATGGCTGTTCCAAATAAGGCCTCTTGCTTGCGGACAGCAAAGCCCCTGGGTGTCACTTAAAACCAGGTTCTGGTCAGTGACCTTGTTTATTGGAATGTTCTCAGTAAAAACTGATGGCACTCTATGGGGGTGGGTGGAGCCTACTGCCCATAATGTAGGTGTTCCTGTTTGGAGCCACTAGTGGCCCCTGCATCTGGCTATGGACAAACAAAGCCCTTGCCCTGGCTGGCACTGGCTGACCCTCAGGAAGCCAAGGAAGGTGTAGCACGTGTGGGAGCTGTTCTGAGGCCATGAGTCGATTCACACAGCTGTGGTTTTGGGAATGTGTTTACTTGAAGAACAGCATCTCTCCAATAACTAAAGCCCCATTAATAAGCTTATGTGGCCCTGCTTTATGGGCTTCACATGGATAAGATGGATCTTTAACGGCTAGGTGAACCGGGTGCAATGGCTGCCTTGCTCCTTCTTTTATTTTACATGACTGAGTAAGCACACACCAGTCTTCTGTCCCCACTAAACAAACAGGGTTTCCCTCACAGATCACTGAGACAGCCTCTTGGAGACACACCCCTTTACTAATGGGGGCCAGGCTACTTACTGCAAAAGGGGTGATCTGTGTTTTTATTAACAGCCTAACATATGCCAAACTGTGTTTGGGCTAATGGAACTAGCAAGCCACAGAAATGAAGAGGCCCTGGCTGGTGTGGAGTTGACATGTCCTGGGGTGACAGCTAACATGTGAAGAGAGTGTGGTGTCAGGCAGTGACAGGTGCTGACAAAGAAACAAAGTAAGGTGGGCAGGATCTGATGGGGTAGATGAAGGGGATGGTTTGGCCTTTCAGAGCTGGGACATTGGAGCAGTGTCTGAGACGAGGTAGCCAAGCAAACATATGAGAAAGAACTTTTGGGCAGAGAAATCCGGTGCAAAGGTCCTGGGGCAGGAGAATTTTCACACCCTCAGAGAACAACTGTTCAGGCTGCAGAAGTGGCTATGAGCCAGAGAGCAGATATTTAGGTGAGAGCAGCTCAGTGTTTAGTTCAGGAAGGCAGACACCAAGCTGGGTCTGATGTCTCTCACTTTCTCCCTCCCCTGCTTCCAAACAAGAGTTTTTAACAAGTAGTGCAACCTCAGGCTCTGTTGATTTTTAAGAATAAAGAGCCCTTTCTTACCTAAAGGCTCATTTAATCTCTTAGTCCCACTTCTGGCACCACTGGGACCTCCAGGTGCCTTAGACCAAATGTTCTGTTATCATTGTAAAGTAGATTCTAGAAATACTTGTTTAGGTTTTAAAATTATCCCCATAACCCCACAAAAACAAACCGAATGCCAGCTTTTCCCTCCCATTTTTGTCCCTCCCAAATTTAGTGAAGCATGAGTTTCAACATTGGTTGGCAAGTGAAGGGCTGCCCGGAGAAGCATGAGCAGCCACTGGATAGAAGGTCCCTGTGAAAAGCCAGACTTGTGTGACTCCTTTGCAAGGAGTCCTGGATGACCTTCAGCATGCTCTGGTGACCTGTGCAGCAGTCCCCTGGCTTTTGCTTTTTGTTCTGCAGGAGAGGAACTCTGAATGCAAATGTAGTAAAAGTTAAAAGTCCGTGCACTATCTGCGTTCACGTGGCGTAAGTCAGCTTGATGTTTATCAAAGACACAGTGCCAGGCGTTTAAGTTCTCAGACACAGGGACTCTGGCATGAATTCACTGAAGTTGGTTGCTCTCCAAGAAATCCTGATTCCAGGGTGGAGGAGAGGGTCATACAAGTGTCTGGCTGGCTCAGGAATTCTCTGGGTGGCATGCAGGGGCATGCATGTAAGACTGGGATTTAGAGCTGTCACCCCTGCAGCCAAGGCTCACAGGAGGCAGAGAGAGCTGGGAAACAGCTTTTATAATTGTGCAGGCTCCATGCTGGTGGAGGCAGTGTAGTCGAGAATTGTTTTCAGACATTCAAGGAACAGAACTTAGTGACCCTGATTTCAGTGGGTGGAAAGAAAGAAAAAGTTAGAAAGGTTTTAAACCTTAGATATCTCAGCAGAGTGAGACTGTGAGTTGGTTTGAGGAAAGAGGGAAGAGGACAGTAAATGAATTGACATGAAGTTTGTCTGGAGACTGAACTTATCGTATGGGAGGTGTGTGTGGTGTGTGTGTGTGTGTGTGTGTGTGTATGTGTGTGTGTGTGTACATATAACACCCTCTTCTGTATTGCATGTTCCTCAAAAGGGGCTTGATTTTTTCTGCAAGGGCCCGAGTAGAGTTGCAGGAGTCAGCACTGGATGTGTGCTTTCTGTCTCCTTCTCAGGGGGCCAGAGTACCACAACATGGAGAAAGATGCCTAGAGTTTGTGATTATATGAAGACCCCATGCTGCTGTCTGTGTTGTGAAAGCCATGAGACATGAAAGCAGAAGAGGGGACCAGCTGGGGGACCTCAGTGGGGAAGGAATGCATAGAAACAATGTAGAAATGCCAAAAATCCATTACTTGATGAGCTAACTTAAAACATTAAACTCAAATTTTATGTGTATGGGTGCTTACATATGTGTCTGTGTAGCATGTGCCTGCTTAAAACATAATGATGTAAAGAATTCAATCAAATAGAGAAAGCAGGATTCCAGGGAGCTATGACCTTCCATCCCGTTTCAGTCTCTGCACCAGGCTGTCTCCAGCCCCGGTGCTTCAGAGTGTCTAGCTGCACGGCCTTGCATGCCTCAGCACAGGCATTTACAGCTTTAGTCTGGGTGTCTGGGGGCATGGTTTGTTTCTGTCTCCACTAACTTGGCAAGCAAGTCTTTTAAGGAAGCTGCATTCATCTTTCCGACATTCTGCTCTGCCAGCAGCTCCTCTCTCTGTCCTGCTTTCCTCCCTCCCTACCCCTCTCTGTTGTGTTTCTTTGCCTTTCTAGGAGAAGTTGGACAGAGTCACTAGTGTTCCTGTGCATGGAAACCACTTAGGGAACACTGATGATCCTGGGCAAGGGACAGGCAGGGTTGGAGATTCATACTTTCATTTGAATGTTGATGCTTGCACATCTCAGGTGCATTTCCCTTGAATCGGGAGCTTCCTACCAGTGTGAGCATAACTTGTTCCTGAGTGTGTAACCATGTTTCTCTCACACAGGTGGTAGAACAACATGTTGATCCTGAAATGATGCTGTTGCCGTACCTGAGGAAGAATCGTATCCTTTGCTGTGTGTTGTGAATGTGTGTATGTGTTAAGTCTGTGAGCCTGTGAGAGTCTGTGAGAGCATATGTGTGTGAACATGTGAGTGTGTATATCTGGAAGTCTAGAACTAGTCTGAATGTATATTTGTATGTTCTTGTATGTGAATTTGTGAAGATGTGAGTGTATGAATGCATGCAAGTCTTTGCGTGTATGTTTGAGATGTGGGATGTTTGTGTATGTCTGTGAGTGTTGTGTGTGTGTGACTGTGGGAGAGTGTTGTTTGAGTGAGAGTGAGCACATGAATGCGTGCATTCTTGTGTGTATGAGGGTGAACGTATGTCAAAATGTGTTAAGTGTATGTATGAGCTCTGCATGTTAGAGTATGTATTAGTTAACCTCTGAGAGTGTGTGCAGAGGTGTTTGCAAGTGTGTTTGTGTGTGAGAGTTTGTAAGAGTTGAAATGCGCAAGAGTTTTTAAGTCTGTGAATACAGGCCCATGTGTGTGTGCATGAGTATAACAAAATGAGTATATGTACATGTCTGAGTGTGTTACTGTGTTTGTGTGTGAGAGCATATTAGTGAGCGTGTCTGTGAATGTGTATATGTGAATGTGCACATGTGTGACCGTATATGAGTTGTATGAGAATTACTGTCCTTGTGTGTGTTTGTATGATGTGATAGTATATGAGTGAGTGTGTGGGGGGATGCATGTGCATGTTTATGTGTGTGTGTGTGTGCACCTGTGTGTGCATGTATGTGTTTTTGAGTGTATGTGGAAGTAATGAACGTATAGTTGTGTGAGTTATGTGTAACTTTGTGATGTGTTTGAGGTGTGTGTGGTGTGTTTGAGTGTGTGAGTAATATGTTTGGGTATGTGAGTGTGTGTGTATGAATGAGTGTGTTAGTGTTCTCTTAACCTCCTCTTTGGCAGGAACTGGTTGGTATAAAATGGAGAAACCAGCAAGGGATCGGAGAGAAGGATGTTGAAAAGCATTAATTGAGACTCTTCTAGAATTAGCAGACAATATTTATACCTTATCTTCAGTGACTGATGTTTATGTCATTGGAGAAAGAAAACACCAAAGTCTCCCTAAAATGAAATGGGAAGAACATTTTGGATTGGGACATAGAGGCAGTCAGATATTTGTGAGTTCAAGACTAGCCCGGTCCAATTATGAGTTCCAGGACAGCCACAGATGTTATGCAGATAAACCCTGTTTCAAGACCAACAATAATAATGCAATTACAATAATAATAATAGAGAAGAGATGTGAGGGAGCAGTCAGAGGTTTCACTGACAAGATGCAGACAAATGACTTAACTGTGTTCTAGCGTGACACAGATGGTTCATAGATCATTTATAATACAACGTTTTGTACATTTCATCAGAGACCTCCATAATGATGAGGGCTGATATACAGTGCACTCCCACCTGCAAATCCTCAAAACACTGACATGCATGGACCCTTCCTTCTTCAGTCTGGCCCTACTTTTGGCAGCCTGTGCTCCAGCTTCATAGAAAGGGTGGCAAAGGCTGGAAGGCACAAAAGGAATCAGGAAACTAGAAGACTTAGGCAGCAGCTGTTGGAGAATCGAACTGAACTCTCCTATGCATGTCTGTGATGATGCTGTGTCCTAAGTCAGGGCTATGCTAGAAAGAAAACCATAGCAAACGGTATCTTTAACTCTGCTTCTTCCAGTCCGACTCACAGGCACTAAGTATGGCTGTGGAGGGGGAGGCTGTGGCGCCTGCACAGTGATGGTCTCACGGTACAACCCCAGCACCAAGACAGTCAGGTACCTCACAGCAAAGTTCAGCTCCGAGTGAGCTCCGCAGTTCTCATCTCCATTTCCTTCCTTTTGTGGTGAATGTGTATGGAAAGACCTACACTGGGCACCCAGGATAGCGACATCTCCTTGCTCCCATGTGTGCATTCTCCATCTGTAAGCCTGGGAGCTCTGCTTCAAGGAGCAGTTAGACGGTGTCACTCTCCTACCTAACACCGCCTGTGGTTTCCTATTTTGTTTACATTCTGTATTTATCTTCAATGCATTATGGCTCCACACATGTATCTGTTCTGGTCTCTCTCCCCTCCTCTTCTGGACTCCACTCTTGCATTTGTTAAACCACCATTCTCATTCCCCACAATCCAGATGAGCTGTAGGATCCGAGCAGCAGCCAGGGCCATGCCATGCCTGCATCCCCTGGGAAATCTCCCTGCTTCCAAGCCTGGCTGCCAGATTTTTGGAAATTGAAAGTTCTCTTTAGACTCCAATTCTGCACTCTGTACTTCAGGAGATCTTTGCCCCAAATCGTCTTATTCTTAGCCCGTAAAGGCTAGTGATGACATTGTACTCAGTGTACGCTTAGCATTTTCTCTCTCTTCTGCCCATCATGAGCTTCTTTGTTCAGAGGTATACATACAGAATTAGAACATGTGCATTTAAAGTTATTTCTCTTTTTGTCTTCCAAATGCACTGTCTCCCAGAAGAACTCAGAGAGAGTGTATTTACACTCATGAATGGCAGGAACCCCATTTTCCCAAGCCTCTATTAAGACTAGACATTATAATATTTGAGGACATCTGTAATTTTCTTTGATAAAATGGTGTTTCTCAGTGTTAGCTCAAAATTTTGCTGATCATTTGGGCTGTGAACATTTGGCTCTTGTGCCGATCCCATCTGTAGTTGTGGCTAGGAGGGGAGAGCATTTTAGCTGTTGGAATTGGGCAGCTTTGGCTGTGGTCCTGAGGGTGGAATAGCTCTTCACCTGACACTAGTTCTTCCTCTGCAGAGCAAATGATGCCACACTCACTTTATTGCCCAGCCAGCCTTGGTCCAGCTCCACCTGCAGGAAGACAGCAGCTCCAGGTTCACACCACTTACATGCAATTAGAGAGTGTCAGCCCCCATCTGAAAGGGAATGATTAAGCTGGTGGATGCTTTCAGGAATTGGAATTATGAGGTCTAATTTTAATTCTGCCACTGGCACTCCAGCTGTGACCCTGAATACATCACTCTGATGCTCAGATCTGGTTCTGAAGAAATGAGTTTGTGCTGAGAATGAAACACAGATTCAGAGCCTGGAACATCACTCCTGACCTGCCTGTGGGAGGTGCCCAGGGGTGCTCGGTCCCCTTTCTCCCAGATGTCATGTAATTTGTCACCTGTGCTTCTCTTTTGCATTTCGAAGGCATCATCCAGTCAATGCCTGTCTGACCCCCATCTGCTCTCTGTATGGCGCAGCAGTCACCACGGTAGAAGGCATAGGCAGCACCACGACAAGACTCCACCCCGTTCAGGTGAGGGTGCGCTGCTCCCCTAAAGGGACTCTGAACCCCAAGGACTCAGAGAGTAGCAAGTCTGGGTCCTGCTGCTTGTTCGCTGGTAACAGCTGAAAGGCACAGGGGCTGACTAAAGCTGGGATGCTGGGATACATGAGTAACTGACTTCTTGGGAAGATGCTTTTTGAAGAACAGAAGACTCCCTTTCTTCAGGTAATGCTGACCCAGCCAGCTTTGTTTCCTCTGTGTTCCAATCAGAGTGACCTCTCCGTCTTGTGTCTTCCAAATAAGAAGGGAACACCAGCCATGTGCATTAACACATATAGTTTTTGGTGAAAGACAACTTGATTTAAAATCTGAATTAAAAGTATGAGCCCCCCCCCCATACATATATCAAAAGTTGTGTTGGGTTTAGACTTGTTGGAGGACAGGCTCTGTCCCGGGGTCTGTAGCTCTTCCTTGAGTGGTGCCTGGCTCCCTCATTTAGGGCTGTTGCTCAGACCTAAACCATTTACATATGACCCCCAGTATACCATTCATTCTCCCTTGTCATGGTCCTGCTATTGAGGACCATGTCTGTGGAGTGGACACAAAGGGAAGAGGTTTGAACCACGTAGGAAACAGACAAAATTCACCTTCTATAGATGTGAAAAAATCATGAGTTTAATGTTCCCAAACCCAATTAAGCTAAAGGAGGAGGCTGTTCCCTGGATAGCCTGTGAGACGTTAAAAAACATACAATTTTGCTGGGCATTAGTGGCGCATGCCTTTAATCCCAGAGCTTGGGAGGCAGAGGCAGACAGATCTCAGTGAGTTTGAGGCCAGCCTGGTCTACAGAGCAAGTTCCAGGACAGGCTCCAAAACAATACAGAGACAACCTGTCTCAAAAAACTAAAAAGAAAGAAGACATTTAAAAGCCTGTTGACCTGATGTGCTGCCGGGGTGGAGTTGATAAATTCCATGCCATTCATCCTCACAGCCACTGCCTAAAGTCAATCTGAACAGCTTATGGGGCTCAACAGTCAGACTGGCTGGCCCAAGGGAAGCCACTTGAGATGTAGCTTTTGGGGCCTCCTCTCCAAGTTCAGGGAGCACAGAAATATCCTGGGGACATTGCTCTGTGTTTGTTGACCTGTCGGAGAGTAACAGGTCTGCATTTCTAACCGTATGCTTCCAGGAGAGGATCGCCAAGTGTCATGGCACACAGTGTGGATTCTGTACTCCTGGGATGGTGATGTCCATGTACACACTGCTCAGAAACCACCCAGAGCCCACTCTCGATCAGCTGACGGCTGCCCTTGGTGGTGAGTATGCTCTTAGTTTTAAGTGGTCATGACAGAAATAACTGGACACCTCCCATCTGTCACGTGCTGAAATAAATGCTATTTGGAAATTCATTTAAAGACTTTTATAAGACAGTTACCATTGTCATCTTAATTTCATAGGTAAAGAATCTGAGATCTAGAAAGAGTGTTTTATTAGAAAGTATCCCTACAAAGTGAGTTCCAAGATGGCCAGAGATATACAGAGAAACCCTATTTCGTAAAACCAAAACCAATCAACCAACCAACCAACCAGCCAAACAAACAAACAAACAAACAAACAAACAAAATGTAGGAAATGTATAAATAATGAGTGTTTGAGGAAACCTGTCAACAGAGATCTCACTCTTGTGCTGTTTCTAAAATAAGCCTCAGGGGCTGGGGAAACAGGCTGAGTCAGTCAGTGTCTGGTGTGAGGACATGAGTTTTAACCACTACCGCCTATATGAAAGCCTGGGAGTGATGGCCAGTGCACTGGGCAGGAGGATGCACAGACTCAGGAGGACCCCTAGAGCCTACTGTCCAGCCAACATAGCAGGGCTGATGAGTTCCAGATTCACTGAGGGACTGTCTCAAAAGTATGTGGAGAGCAATTGAGCAAGTGTCAACCTCTGTCCTTCCCATGTACTCACACATACTTGTGCACACACCAACAGATATGTACATAAACCACACAAACAAATAAAACACGACCTCATAGTGGGGTGGAGTAAGGACACAGAACCATTGTGAGAGAAAACTGGCCTAATCATTTATTGTTAATAATTTGTCTGCCTAATTATCTCCCGGGTTCAGAAACGACACACTTTTCCACCTTTACTGTTACAGAACAGCTTTGACCAGCTGAAACTTCCCTTTCTGTCTCTCTCCTTCTCCCTTTGCTTTGACTCTGTCAAAACTGATAGCTGCCACAGTAAGGATTAATAATGAGAGGAATATTCCTTTAAAAAAAAGAAGACAAATTTTCCACTGCAACATGCATGGACCACAGCACATGATGCTAAGTAAAATAAGCCAGACGCAGAAGAGCAAACGCTGTATTATACAAAGAACCTAAAATAGTACAATAGAAGCAGAGAATAGAATGGTGATTGAATAGTGATTACCTGAGGTGGGAGAAGGAGAAAATGAGGAATTATCAATCAAAGGTTACAAACTTTGTTTTGCAAAATGAACAAGTTCAGTAAAAGTAACTTGGTTCCCACAGCTTCCCATACTATGTTACATAAACCATTGCTGAGACTGTAGGTCTGCTGTCAAATGCCTTCTTTCAGGCTGAAGATCAAGTCCATAAATGGCACAAGGACACAGAGTGGTAGGTCCGCTCAGGTTCTTGACCTTGGGGATAGATTCCCAGTGCACCCTATCTCTAGATACATCAATCACTAATCAGTTGATTAGCTATCCCCTTGTTTTTATGTCAGTAGCATCTCAATAATGTGGCTGTTGTTTTAAGTTTAGCTCTTGGTTGTAAACTTCAGAACAAGTTTTGTCTTAAAATTGTGTCATTTAACCATCCGTCTCAAGAGGAGGGTATAAAATGTGTTTACAAAGAAGAAGTACAGATGGCTGAGATGTTAAAATATACAGTCAGACTCTTGACTAGATATCCCAAGATGCTGATGTAAAAATGAAATTTCACACGCAAGATTTCAGAATTAAGACATCAAGGAGAGTTTTTTTCTAAGATGGGGTCCACGCCTCTGTCCGGGGCACTTGAGTAACAGACTGGCTCTGTCTTCTTCAGGAAATCTGTGCCGGTGCACTGGATACAGGCCCATAATCGATGCATGCAAGACTTTCTGTAAAGTAAGTAGAAAGGATACATGGTCAAGTGCATTTTCCCCCCAAATAAAACAAGACAGTGTAGGAGTTGCTCATTGTGTTTGCAGCAGTAGTCATCTTTATTAATACAGGATCACTTCTCATCTCAACATCTACAATTCCTGCTTTTCCTTTCATCTTGGGCAGGAGACTGACCCTCCTTGCCTGGGTAGTTAAACTGTGAGCATCAGTTTGTCATCAGCCCTGAGTCATTCCTTCCAAGAAGTTGCTCTTGACCTGTTTGTCTAAGTTAGGGACCCTGCTGGGGTGCTCATAGTCTCCTGCAGACATGATATGTGTTTGTGAGTGACACAGCGTGACACTGGTCACAGTATGGTCTAGTTGTTTCTGTAGCACTGTGTGTTTTTAATGGACTATTTGACAATGGAGGCTGTCCATCCCCAGGACAGGGTTACCATAATCCAATTGTAAGCTATTCAATCATTAATATTAATAGAACTAACAAAAGCCTATGAAACACTTTGCTTTTTTCTTTGCTTTTAACAGTTATATAAAGGAGAAGGCTCTGTGGAATTTTAATACACATTCAGTCATGGTGGGTCCTCCCCCACCACCAGACAATCTCTTCTGCAGGGTGAACTATGAAATTAATGCCTCATAGATAAGACCGGAGCTTGGTGTCAAATCTTCTTACTATTATTAGTAGTATTTAAAATATTGTTAGTATCAATAATTAATATGGGTAGTGTTTATTGCTATATAACAGGATTATCTAGTAAGTTTTAGTAAATACTGGTATTTAGAATTTCTTGTTAACTTGCTTTCATTACAATTAGCTTGAATATGTTGAAGTATAAGTGGTTTTCTTGTACAAAGCCTTACAATATTGGTTGTACAGCTTCAACTGAAGGCACCCAGCTGACAATAGAGTCCCCATGGAATGCTGATGGGCTTGCTTTGTTTTTTTCTATTAGGCTTCTGGCTGCTGTCAAAGTAAAGAAAATGGGGTGTGCTGTTTAAGTGAAGGAATAAATGGATTTGCAGAATTACCAGAAGGTGATGAGGTCAGTGAATGGTAAAGTTGTTCAAGACCTGAGCAGCCACTGACCTAGCCTTTGGAAGAATCGGTGGCTCCCCTGGTTGAGGAATTTGACTGTGTCAGCATGTTCCCTCTCTTATTCTCGCTGTTTCTATATGTGCTACAGATTCAGGCCAGGAGGCAATTGAGCATGGAGAAAGGGGTGAACAGGTACTGTGGTACAGCTGGGTGAGAGAAGTGGCTTCTAATTGTTCTATAGCTCAGTAGTGTGATTGTGCTTGACGATTAGAATAACTAATAGAATCTAACATTCTCCACACAAAGAACCACATCATGTCTGAGATACTAGATGCAAAACAATGACATGATCTTATCATGTGTGTGTACTGCAATGTCACTCCATCCCACAAATAGATGCAATTAGCACAGCAATTGAAAGCAAAAGAATTTATTTTATAAATCTGTTGTATCCACTTTGTCCCCCATTGCACTTATTAGCACTATCCAAACTCTACTATCTGAAGGAGAGAATTGATCTCAGGGGTCTCTCAGTTTTTAGACAGTATTTTCAGTGACCTGTAGCAAAGTGGAGATGGAGATGGAAGGACAAATCCTTGACTGGCAGCTAGGCTCGTTACTGATTAGCTCCATTTGTTTTCTGTGTGTCTGTGTGCCTTCTGCTGGGGGAGAGGAGGTCTTGTGGAGCTCATTCTGTCCTCAGACTTATCACATAACTAAGCCTGGCCATGAATTCCTGCTGTCCCTGTCTCCCATGTCCCTGTGATTATAGGCATGTACTACCATACCTGGATTGTCTGAGCATCTTCCTCCAGTGTCATCCCACAAATAATTTAACATAGGGGTCCTCGACAATAATATAGTTGTCATCCTTTGTCTACAGTTCCCTTCCAGCAACCTGAGTTACCTGTGCTCAACCATACTCTAATGATATTAACTGGGATATTCTAGAAATAATTTGTGTTTCAATATACGTGCATTATGAACAGCATGAGGAACTCTCACTATGCTCGCCCCTGTCTCACCTGGAATGTGGACCACCCCTTTGTCCCATATATCCTTACTGTATACATTACCTGCCCCTCTGTCACTAAGTAGCTGTCATGGGTATCAGATAGACCAGCACAGTATTGCAGAACCTGTGTTCAAACAACTGTTACTGTACTTAATGATGACAGGAAGCACAAACTTAGAGATGCTATAGTTCAGATATGACAGTGAATACTTACAGGGAACTGATTTTTTTTCCAGGGATGTTTAGTACTAGAGTATGTTGGTAAGATTTGCAGTAAGAATGAATAAGAAAACGGTAATGTATAGGAATCTTCCAAGTTCAAACTGCCCAATGTTTTGTGTAGCAACAGGCATGGATGTCCTCTGAGAATAGGGGGCACTACTGTAACTTCTGTCATTTTCTCGTTTTAAGACCAGTCCTGAACTCTTCTCAGAAGAGGAATTTCTGCCACTGGACCCAACTCAGGAGCTGATATTCCCCCCAGAGTTGATGGTAAGGACGTCCATTGCTCTCCCAGAAGAGCTCGGGGTCAAATGGCAGGGGCAGCCTTTTCAAAAGCTGATGGTGCGGCTGTCAGAACTCATCAGGGACATCACTGTGCAGCAGACAGTGGTTAATGCAGATATTCTCAGCTTCTCAAAGTAGAGAATAATTACCAGTGGGCTGCCCTGCTAAGCATCAAGGGGACATCTACATTACACCCTGCCCCAAGACTCAGGGGCCACTGAGAAAAGGGAAAGGAAAGAGTGGCCTCTCGACCTGACAGGGCCACTGCACTCAGGAATTCATAGCCTGCACAAGCTCTAACCAGTCAACATTTAGCATGGAGAGGCGTTAGGAGCAGTTTTCCCAACAGCCTGGTTTCAGAGTTACCTCAGCCTTAAATGACACACAGAGATGCTGTGTTAGATATAAAGATGTTGGCCTGTTACTAGTGTTTCTTATTGGCTGTCTTAAATATTAGCCCATTTCTATTAATGTAAGTATTTCCCTGTGGTCTTATCTTACTGGAGAGAGGGTCCTGAGTTCTGCTCTCTCAAGTCCCTACATGTTGAATCTCCTCCTACCTCTCCTTGAATCCTCCTTGTCTCCTACTCCCACCTATCTTGCTTTTTATTGGCTAACATTGCTTAATTCATTAACCAATACGAGAAACATATTTACAGACTGACATCTCCCATCAGAGAGGTGAGAGGTAAATGAGCCCCCAGCTTTAGCTAATATAATTAAAGGCTGCCAGAGAGGGTTGGTCAGTTTTCGTCAAGTGTCTGACCCTTTCTACGTTGACCATGACCCAGGCGATGGCCTTATATACATGAGTAAATGGACAGCACAGATTGTATCCAGTAGGCTTTGAAGGGAAGAAAGGGGGACATATATTTGGGAGGATGCAAGGTTATTCTTGGAGATGTTAGGAGAAGGAATGGAAGGGATTATAATGAATATACATTATGTTCATATATAAAATTCTCAAAGAATTGATAATATACTATAAAAGACAAACTGATGGACAAATATGCAACAGTCACCCATCATCGTCAGCTCAGAGTCCAGGGAGTGTGGGCCCAGGAAGGGTGGAGAAGGGAGGGGAGGGCTGCCCTGAGAGGTTGGGGGATGTAAAACACAGCTGATTTGTATGTTAAAAGTCATGAAGGCACAGTCAATGTGCTTCAATATAGACTTGTTTCTCCTTCCACTTCTGCTGAAGTTCATGATTGTGTAGAAGGATCTGGTGAAATGAGCGTATTGCTGTGTTAGTGAACATCAGCATGAGTACTGGGAGGTGTGGGAGAGCCGATGGGAGCTTCAGTTTCCAGGTGTAAACTACAGCCACACTGTAACCTCAACTCTGGCTCCCGGTAAAGCTCTACTTTTAGGTCACAAAATTTGGCTTTTAGAAGATATGTTTCCACAGAAACAGAGTGAAAAGAGATGTCACAAGCTCTCTCAAATTCCTGTTGTGTTTTCAATAGATAATGGCTGAGAAACAGCCACAGAAGATCAGAGTGTTTCGTGGTGATAGAATGACATGGATTTCCCCAGTGACTCTGAAGGAACTTGTGGAAGTTAAATCCAAGCATCCCCAGGCTCCCATTGTCATGGGCAACACCTCTGTGGGTATGTAGACACCCCTCAGACATCTTATGAGGGAAACAAGCTTCATGTGCATTTGTTGTCAGGAGAACAAGTAGAAAACCCCACATTGTTCAAGGGATGTTCCTGCATTAGAAAGCTGCCTATCCTATGCTTCACTGGGACAGAGGCTGGCCCCATGGCAATTAGCTAGTGGGCTAGCCTGTGCTGCACTAGAACAGACACTGCCTTGATGGCCCCATGGTAAGCCAGCAGCAGGGCCAGCCTGTGCTTCACTGGTGCAGAGGGTGGCCCATGGTCGGCTAGCAGTGGGGTGTCAGTGTTCTGGTTTTCTGTCTTAGCACTACACTGGCTCTCTTTCTGAAACCGCTGTCTTTCCTCTGTGGGCGGTGACTCTGTGACTACAATGTGTTTCACTAAATGGCAGTTTCAGAGTCTTCTCCTTTTCCACATAATCCAAGTATGGCTGCCCATCTCTATGCAGGGCTTCCAGGACTTTCTTCAAGCAAAATGTGTGCCATGTCACACAAGTTTTAGGGTTAACATTTCCAAAGAGTGCTACAGTTTATTTGGCTGCCATCTCTGCTTGTGGTTTGTAGTAAACACCCCAATAAAAGGAAACACCTTTCAGATACCAGAGCCATGTATTTAATCATAAATCCAAATTAGGAGTGTAGGTATCATCATTGTATTTAATCATAAATCCATATTAGGAGTGTAGGTAACATCATTGTATTCTAATCTTCTGTTTCCTACAATCCCTTAGGGCCTGCAGTAAAGTTTAAAGGCGTCTTCTACCCTGTCATAATCTCTCCTGACAGAATTGAAGAGCTGTGTGCTGTAAGCCAGGATCATGACGGTGAGTTTTTCTGGTCTTTGTGTCCTTGGGAATGCACTCATCAGGCCATCTTCTTACCCCAGGTGATGGACAGGGCAGAGATGTTTCTAGTTAGGATTCAGATACTCTTCAGGCAGAGTGGTGAGGACCCTGAGGACGTCCAGGGAGCATTCTCTAAGTTTCACTAGACACAGTCTGAGAAGTGAGGTTGTCACTGGTAAACTTTCCTATCTGCAGTATTTGGGAACTAACAACTATCCAAGGAGAATCTATGCAGAGAGTGCAGAACAAAAGATGAAGATGGACGAGACATGATCGCTGCTTCCCAGAGCACAGCAGACAGAGGAGAGTTGGGCATTAAGAAACTGTAGTCTGGCCTTTCTCATTCCTGATAAAGGAATTTGGTTTAATGGCAGTGAGAAGGCATTGCAGTGTGGGTTGTGATAAAGCCCCTCAAATCCAGCACTTGGCCATGATGTGTAGTATCTCTGAGATCTTGAGGACATGACTGAACTGAGTCTCAGTGTTCTCATCTGTGAAGTGAGCCTATTAATATCTTGTGGATTTGTTTTAATATGTGGAGTTATTTTATTAAGCTAGAATAATATGGGATAAACTCAGTATGAAATCTAACCTTCATGATCTCTACCACCAATACCACCTTAATTAACCCTCCCACACATCACTCCATCACCATCAGTATCTCCATCATGAGCATCATCACTACCACAGTCAGGACCATCACCACCATCATCACCACCATTACTCATAGCACAGATCCAATATAAGGATTCCCTTGCCTTTCCCTTTGATCTAACATTTTGAGGCATCAGTGATCACATGGCTTTACTTACAGAGACTTTATTTCAGGACTGACCCTTGGTGCTGGCCTCAGCCTGGATCAGGTGAAGGATATTCTGGCTACTGTGGTCCAGAAGCTCCCAGAAGAGAAGACACAGACATACCGTGCCCTCCTGAAGCACCTGAGGACCCTGGCAGGGTCCCAGATCAGGAACATGGCTGTATGTATTTGGCAAGTCAGCTCTAGCATTGGGGTCGCGGGTATCTGTATGGCTTCTTTCTATTCTTTAAACACAAAAAAGAACTGCTCCCCAGAGCATCTCTTTCTCTGTATTTAGTGCTTGTGCTTTGTAACTATGTAACAGAGTGAAATTACCTGCTTTTTAAAGTCTTTAGGGGGCCACATTGTGAGCAGACATCTGGACTCGGATCTGAATCCCCTCCTGGCTGTGGGTAACTGCACCCTCCACTTACTGTCCACAGGTAAACAGCAGTTTCTGCTTGGGGACTTTGTTTCTCTCACCTCTGGGGAGGCAGGAAATTCAGTCTAGAAAAAGACTATTCACTATGGCATTACTAATTTCCTTTACCTTTCTAAGGCTGAGAATTTTGTCAGTCTGTCTTAAAACTATGATTCTCTTCATCTGTTTCTTCGTGAGACCTTTAGCTATCAGGGGCCAAACTATTTGGCTGTCATTACAAATGTGGGTGGCTGCATTTATACCTATCCTGGGATTCATGTAGCCTGTTGTCTGCAGAATAGACACATCTGCTAGATGTTTTATCCTTTCTCTATGGACATTCTTGTTTTGGTTAATGTCCAGATTTGAGCTGGTCATTAGGAAAAACAATAATCTTGGAAAATCACTTGGCCCCTTTGTTGGGGACCCTCTCCCTGGCACCAGGGTGTTTGACTCCCATGACATCCATACATGGGCTTGTCCTCTGTTTATCTTCATTGAATGCCCACAATCTTTTTCACCAAAATATTTATTGGACCTGCCGAATTTATGTAATTAAGTATTATTTTTACAATAATACTCCCTTAATCAATCTGTCTAATAATTGCTAGGAAATTCTTATAATGGGTCCTCTATAAATTTATGGAGATTTCATTTTAAAATATGAGCTAGCTTTCTGTAACATATATTGTGAAACATTAACTCCTAGCTTTTAAACTTCTAAGTAAGCTTAAGTAGGATGATCTAAATTCTGAGTTTCAATATTAGTAAATCACCTTTGAAAAAAACTCCTGTCATGAGAAGTAAGATTGGATGAAAAATATTTTTATGTTTTTTTTTTCATTGTTATAATTTGCTATGACTTTAAACTGTTCCTTCCTCCAGTCTATTGACTGGAGGACTGAAATTCTCTACATGCTGGTGTGGGTAGGGCATACTCAAATAAAATAACACTCAGTGGTGCACAAATTCACTGAAGGGATTTTTTAATTTACCTCTGGAAATAATAGGGCCCCTGGATATAGGGCAAAAAAAAAAAAAATAATTTTGCATTGACTTTATCAAGTATCACTCTACTCTCTCATGGTAAAGCCCTAAGCTATAGGGAAGAGGGTGTTAAGGTACTTGTTCTTTAGGAATCTCTGTGTTTGTTTTCTGTAATCAAGGAGATAAGACAAAAGGAGGGAGGCAGGCTAGCCTGGAAGAATCATTGCAAGGTGCTGTCAGAGAATTACCTTCCCCCGCCCCCTCCCGCCAAAGCACTCATGCACTCATGTACACACAAGCCAGTAGAACCTTTTCTCAAGTTTGGGAATTTTGTTTAAGAGACTGAAGATTCCAGGGAAGGTGTCATTTTTCCACAGATGGAGAACGACAGATCCCATTAAGCGAGCAGTTTCTCCACAGGTCTCCTGAAGCAGACCTTAAGCCCCAGGAAGTCTTGATCTCAGTGACCATCCCGTGTTCCAGGAAGGTGAGGATGGCCTCTTTCTCCATTTCCCAGTGGCCCCAGCATCTGTAGCTTGAGAGGGCTCAGGACAGGCATGTGTTTGCAGAGCTTGAAGCCCCCTCGAGGAATTGACAGAAGTTACTGTTCCCTGGGTGACTTGTGCAGTTACTGTCACCCTGCTGTGAAGTCCCCTGTCACTTCTAGAACTAGAGATCTTATTCCCTTTTCCTTTAACCCAAACTCTAAAGTTGATTTTTAGCAGATTTTTAAGACATTCTTTGTCTTTTCTGACTTCTTCCCTAAATGCTACCTGTCTGCCTAGATCCTTGGGACTGAAAGAACTTGGTGGGGTAAAGCATGAGTTTGGGAGTCAGATACACCAGGCTTGAGTCCTGGCTTCAGACCTGAACTAATTAATGACCAAGCCACGTCCATTTGACAGTGTGGAATCAAGCCTGCCTCATGAGGGGTGATGGTTTAGGGGAGCTGCCATCCCAAAGAAGCCCACAACGAATGGCTCTAATAACAGAGTTCTTTTTCTAGAAAGTCTGGGGCTAGAACTCTGATATGGGGTATCAGTCACATTGATGTCCTCCATTGAGGCCTGGGACCTTGAACATAGATGCTCATCTTCTGCTTTTCTGTGGTCCTTTTCATGTGTCTGTCCACTTGGGCTTTAAAATGACACAAGCTTTGGGGTCAAGGCCCTGACTATTAACCTCATTTCCACCTTAGCGCTTTAAACACCTTGTCCACAAGAAGGGAAGTACTGGGATTTAAAATGCCAGCATCTGAACTTAGGGAGCACAGAACAGAGCCCATAACAGACGATGGGCTGAAGTCAAATCACCCCATGGGCATGGAGGGGTCTCTCAGGGGAGCTCTGTTTGTGCCTTTTTTCTTCAGTGGGAGTTTGTGTCAGCCTTCAGACAAGCCCAGCGCCAACAGAATGCACTAGCGATTGTCAATTCTGGAATGAGAGTCCTTTTTCGAGAAGGAAGTGACATCATTAAAGAGTTATCCATTTTGTATGGCGGTGTGGGTGCAACCACCATTGGTGCTAAGAACTCCTGCCAGAAACTCATCGGAAGGTAAGACACTGTGTCTTTAGTTTCCAGGTAACAGAACAACCCGGCCTGTGGGAGGCTGCAATGAAAAGAAGAAAAACACTTAGGATCTATCCCACAGTTTGATGGATGGAATCCCAACACTATTTCATAATCACTTTCATGTTGCTTTTTAGCAAATTCAGAAGTGAGCTTTATGCAATCTGTATATGTAGTGTGTGTAAGCACACAAGTGTCTGTGTATACATGTGTATGTTTGTCTGGTGTGTGTATATGTGCATATATATATATATACATATATATATATATATATATATATATATATATGTGTGTGAGAGACAGACAGAAAGGGGGTCAGATGCTCATTTCCTGAAGTGTAAATTTGCTTCCTCTTGTGGGGGAATAATTTACCCTGATGAAACAGACCATGTGCTAATTGATTTCTAACCATCTCTTGCTTACCTGAGTTGATTTGTCTGTGGTAGTAACAGCTAATCTTTCTTGAGAATTTACTAGACAAATGAACAGAGAGCAGTGACTCAGGGCTTAAGCTTTCAGTGAGTCCGTCTGCCTGGTGCATGTCTTAGCTCAGCCTCCTGAACTCCATGAACCCAGGCATTCTATTTAACACTGTGGAACCTCCCTTTCCTCACCTGTCAAAGAAGAGACTCAAACCCACCTTGTGAGTCCCTGCGAGGTTTCTGTAGGCGAACTCATGCAGGGCTAATGCAGGAGCTGACATACGGAAATGTCCTAGGAGTAGACGAGGCAGTGACTCCTGAGCTCAGGGTTCTGATGGGCGAGGATGTGGTGAGACCCAGTCCAGACGCTTGGAGAGTAGCCAACCAGCCTGAACTTGGTTGCAGCTGTACGCCCTGCTCTCCTGTTCCTGTAAAGACTGCAGTCTGCTGCCCCAGTGTCAGGTGAACCTGTGAGGTAATGGGTCCTGCCTGTGAGTCTCCTCCTCTGCCTCTCACAGGTCCTGGAATGAAGAGATGCTGGATACAGCGTGCAGGCTGGTTTTGAATGAAGTCACCCTTCCAGGCTCTGCTCCCGGGGGAAGGTGGAGTTCAAGAGGACCCTCATCATCAGCTTCCTCTTCAAGTTCTACCTGGAGGTGTCACAGGCTTTGAGGAGGATGGTAAGTGGTGCTAGTTGTGTGAACTGCGATGATGAACGCAGAGGCAGAAGACCCTGCTGAGGAGGTGTGGACTATCGAGGATAAAACCTGGACTCATATCTTATTGATGGCTTTCCACGGGGCTGTCTGTGGATGACTGAAGTTTGAGGAAGATTTGCAAGGAGGGCACAGACCTGCACAGGGTTTTGCTTAACACCACTCAGTTATTACTACTTCTCATCTGAAACTCGCTAATGAGGTGAAAGCATTTTCTCACACTTACTGAAGCTCACCTTCCTACTGTTGATTGTCTTGTCTGGGTTATACCCCTTCATAAGATGATGGCAGCCTCTGCTCTGTTGGGAAGTGAGTCATCAAAGGAAAAATGTTTAGTGAGTCCCCCCAACCCCAGGGATCCAGAGGCATGCTGGGTAGAAGTGATAGTACTTAGGAAGGCTACTGATCGCAGGCATTCTTTTGCCTACTTTCCCTTATCACAGGGCTACATAATTGCTGCCTAGAGACCACACAACTGGGAAAAAAAGTTCTCTGAAAACCTTTTCCTGCTTCAAAAAACTTGAACATTTTTGTTCTCATTACCCTCATGCTGCAGTCAAGCAATTAGACTGGAAGCCATGACTGCTCGTCTTGTACAGAAATCAACACAATAACTTTAAGTGCGGGTGTGGAGAGTGGGAAGAGGGGATGAGTTGGGCCAAAACACATTATACCGAGCTCTCAAAGGTTAAAAATAGTTAATACATAAATAAATAACTACAGGAAGTCTTCTCGTGGAGATATTTAAGGCTGCCTTCTCAGCATAGACAAAATTGAGTAAGAACCAATAGGCTGTATCTAATTTTTGAGATGAGGAGTTTGATTTAATAAATAAATGGTATGTTTCTACCAGGTAACCAAAAGTGAAAAAACAACACTAATTGTAAACAATCTCAATAAATAGCAAATAATATAATTCCCTGGTGAATCAGTTGATATATTTGAAAACTTCTGCCCTCCACTTACCTTTCTGTCTTTAAAAAATAACAGCTATTGCCAGCTTTACTTCTTTCAAAATTATTTAATTATAGAAGTACAGACCTTTTAAATTATAAAGACAATCATGAACCATGTTGTTGAATGTCTCATATAGATTAGCCCATCCCTGCTGCTCTGCCTCAGAAGACACCCTCCTGTGGGGTGCCAGCAGCTGGGCCACCTCTACACTTCTCTGTGCCTGGCAGATGCCACCAAGCAACCTTAGGGATATCTGCAATAATGGGCACTGGTTCTGACTTTTCCTGCTTTGAGTTTTGTCTTTTCTGCTTTATGTGACTTCTTTTTAGTCGTGGTATTGATTTATATGATGTCCCCTTCCTGCCACTTAGGAAAGCAGGTCTGTCTTTCTGGACAACATTGAGAAAATAGTGGTTGGGAAACTGGAAAATTGCTAGTGATTGGGAAATAATCCTATGAAACAGAGATGGTGGCAGTCTGTGATATTCTGAATTCATGGGGTTTATCGCATCATGGGGTTTATCGCATCATATTCACCTGCAGGTTCCTTTCTATGGTTGGGAGGGCCTTTAGATTTCCAGAACTCTGAAAGGATGAATACTTAATTAATTCCAGACTTCAGAATGCAGATGTTTGCTGGGAATTGTACCAGCATCCTTTCCTGGAACATTCTGGGAGATTTTAAATGTCTACTGTCATTTTCCTCTGCAGGACCCAGGTCACTATCCTAGCCTGGCAGACAGGTATGAGAGTGCTTTAGAAGATCTTCATTCAAAACATTATTGGAGATCATTAACCCACCAGGTTAGTGTGTGTGTGTGGGTGCGTGCGTGCGCGTGTGCGCGCACGCGAGTGCGTGTGTGTGTGTGTGTGTGTGTGTGCGTGTGTGTGTGTGTGTGTGTGTGTGTGTTTAAAATCAAAGACAGGCAGGGTAGTGGTGGCACACACCATTAACCCCTGTGTTCAGAATGCAGAATGATCTCTGTGAATTCAAGTCTGGCCTATAGAATCGGTTCTAGGATAGCCAGAGTTGTTACACCGAGAAACCCTGTCTTGAAAAACAAACAAATAAACAAAAAACAAACAAACAAACAGATTGAACTTAAGACTGTAGGACTTTTGTCTGCTGGAGACAAGCTGCTTTCTTCAGTATTCATTAAAACTTCCAAACGAGGTTGAGAGTGCAGTTCAGTGGGACAGTATGGTCAAGGCCCTGAGTTTGATCCCTGGTATGCCAAAAAGAGAAAAAATGGAGGTAACCCAAACCAATTAGAGACCCCCTACTAAAAAGAAACCTGGAAAATATATTATATAAAGAAATATGCCTGGTTTTGTGTTAGAGGCTGTTTATTTTAACACTATGCTTCAGCCCATGCACATAAACAAGCTGGCTGTTGCTCCATGCTTCCTACCCTGGCTTTGTGGCTAGTGAACCAAACCAAAGGCTAGTTCTGAGCTGGATCATGAGCTGCTTTGGTTCATTTCAGAGGGCAAGGACACACCCCTGTCCCCAGAGACCTTGGGGCCACAGTGCAAGATATTGCACCCGCTGCTAGCTTGTTTTGCTTTTGTATTTTCTTTTCCAAGTCCTTCCTGTCCATGTGGTTTTCTGAAGATTACATTTTAGAGTACTAAGAACTCTTTTCCAGATTTCCTGATAACGGCTGACTACTAGAGAGTGCAGAACTCTCCATAGCTTTGTTAGCGTTTGCATTCATGTTTCCCTGTGTAGACCTGGCTATCCTGGAGCTCACTCTGTAGAGTAGGATGGCCTTGAATTCAGAGATTCATCTGCCTCTGTCTCCCAAGTGCTGGGATTAAAGCTATGTGCACCCCTGCCTGGCTTTCCTATAGCTTTCAAGTGGAAGATTTTGTCATGTTTGCTATAATTTTTAAAAAGTGGTGTGTGAGAGAAGGGTGCTATGGGACAGAGTTCAAGAGGAGGGTTTTGTTTTTGTTTTTTAATTAGGGGGAAAGGCTCTTTAAAAAAGGAAAGGGAAGCAGGGAGACTGGCCTTAGGGGACAGAAGCAGCAGCAGAGAAGAAAGGGGGCAGGAAGAAAGGACCAGGCAGAAAGACAGAGTGTAGGAAAGAGCATGCTGGGGGGTGGGGTGGGGGTGGAAGGGCCTTTTTTTTTTTTAAAGGGAACATAGTAAATAGGCACAGATGGTGCTCTTAGTGTCTGTACTAAGGGCATATCTTATCAGAACTCCAAAGGCAGACCAGCACAGATGCCTGACTATTAGCAGTAACATTACAAAATTATAACATGGAGCCATTCTGTTGGTAAACTGGATAAGATTTAATGCATCTTTCCTTGCAATTATGTCAAGAATTTGGGCCCAGAGTTTTAAGTCAGGAAAAGATGGGAAGAGATGTTAAAACTGCAGAGCATCTGATCTGCTGACATCTTTGTTATAAAAACTTACATCATGACACAGTGAACACTGGAGTTGTTGTAGGTCCCTTGAGGTTTGGGTTCAATATGTTCAGAAATTTAAATATGCCAAAAACTGCTTGGAAAGTGAACATTTTGAAAATTAAAAACAGTTACATTTCCCCCTAGTGTTTTATAAAACACAACACTCACAGAGTATCACATACAGTGACCCTTATAGCACTTAGGCCATGGATTGCATTTCAGGGAAGAACCAAAGTCAAGTGTTGAACATTCTATAGAAAACCGAGTCTTCTCCGCAGTTGATCTTGAATGGATTTGTCATGCTGCATTCTGAGATAATGTTTGCAGTGCAATGTGTCTCCCACATAGATAAATTTTGTTTTCATTTCCCCTGTGGTCTCAGTTTGTCTTTCTTCTGTCTCCCTCATATGCTCATGTGAGTGCACATACGCATGCACGCGTGCGCGCGCATGTGCGCGCACTTGCACACACACACACACACACACACACACACACACACAGCCTACGTCTGAATTTCTAGAGCTATTTCAGCTTTCACAAAAAAATACTTCTCCCAGTTCACTTACATGATTTGGAACTTTATCACCCTCGCATACACAAGGTCATCAAGGAACATGGTGGGGTGGTTTGGCATTGTAGGTCCTTGATGAGGTGGACCCTTGCTTTTAATCTACTGCTGTGAGGAGTAAAAGGCAAAGTGGTGAACTAACGGCTGAGCAAAGTGTGAACCTATACCAGCAAGTAAGAAAGAGATGGGCCATGCTCCCCCAATGGACTATAACCTCTCCTTCTACCTCCTCAGAGTAGCACCCAGCTGAGAACCAAGCCTATGGAGACATTCTGCATCCAGACTGTTCCTTGTGGCTTCAGGGGATCACCTGATTGAGGGGATATCTACCTTTACCCTTTGTGTCTATAACCATGTAACAAGTCACATGCACTGGCCCAGTCTGTTCCAGCTGGCTGCTACTTTGATAAATCAGTTTCCACACTTGACTGTTGAGGCTTGAGAATTTCCTCTGTCCTCTGGCAAACCTAACACAGTAAAGTTTTAGAAAGTTTTCTCAGAGTTGTGGAATGTTCCATTATTTACAATAAAAGGTGTTTAATAATAAAAAGCTCCAGGAGCCTTATAAATCCCTGTGAACATATCCATTAAGTGTCTGAGCCTATACATTACCTAGAATTTTGCAAACAGAAAATCTGAGAGTATTCTATAAAAACAAAAATGAGATGTGGATAATTTTTCACTCAAATAGTAGGCAAGCTGTGAGCTTAATATAATCTTCAGTACTTTTGGAGAGATTTTGCAGAAAAATCAATGTCTACCTCTGCAGCACTTAAGAAAACATGCCTGATGATGCCTTATCATCTGTTTTTCTTTTCATTGCCAGTCAGGTCTCTAAGGAGAGGGAGGGGGAGTTGTCAGGGAAGCAGAGCAGGTGGTTGGGTGGGAGGAGCTAGTGCATGTTGGGGTTGCTTCAGATCCCTGCTCATCCCTGAATCCCCCAGTGTGAATCTGATTGTATATTAAAGAGAGACTGAAGTCTGTGTGCTTAGACAAAAGGAGTTTCCGTTAGAGATATTTGGAATCTGCATTTCAACAACTAAGGAAAATAAAAATCTACCATACTGGCACATTCCAATTCGATTGCCAAATTGTTCTACTGGGATCTTTGGAATAGTGAAAATAGTGACAGTTTTCACACTCAGAACTGTTCTGGAATGAGTATAAATTCACATAGCTAATCTCTCATTGGAGAACACAGTCTGTTGTTATGAGTAGTTTTTTTTTTCCGCCAGCCTGGTCCCATCGCTACACCAGCCCCAAAATAATACACAGAGACGCTGTATTAGATATAATTCTGTTTGCCAGTTAAGAGTTTCTTATTGGCTGGCTCTGTCTTAAATACTAACCCATTTCTATTAATCTAAGTACTTCCACGTGGTCTTATCTTACCGGAGAGAGGGGCTGGTGTTCTACCCTGTACTCCTGCATCTTGACTCTCCTCCCTACTACTTCCCCTCTCCTCCTAGTCCCACCTATCTTGCTTTCCTATTGGCCAACAGTGCTTTATCCATTAACTAATAAGAGAAACATATTTACAGAATCAGTCTGTGATTTTTCCTACAGCCTCTGTAGAAATATAAACGTCCATGTCTGCTCTTAAACAGAATGTAGACCCAAAGCAGCTTCCTCAAGACCCCATTGGGCGTCCCGTCATGCATCTTTCTGGTATCAAGCATGCCACGGGTGAGGCCATCTACTGTGACGACATGCCTGCAGTAGACCGGGAGCATTTCCTGACTTTTGTAACCAGTTCAAGAGCACATGCCAAGATTGTGTAAGTGTCCTTAGCCCACAGCTAGGAGAGTCCCCCGCTGTCCAACTCTGTCCCGTTAGTGCAAAGTAGTGGTGTGGAGAGGGTAAGTGGAGGCTTGGTGACACCCACACTGGAGATGAAATGGGACTGGAATGCAGGACTCCTCACAAATGTCCTGTAGAGTCACTTTACTGTGCCCCAACTGTGTCCTGTGCCTCGAGGAGAACAATCACCTCCCAAATGCCACATTCTCAGTCCCTGGGCCGGGCGGCTGCCCTGAGAAGCTGTCTGCTGTGTTTTCCTAGGTCCATGGACCTGTCAGAGGCGCTCAGCATGCCAGGCGTGGTGGACATCCTTACTGCAGATCATCTTCAGGAGGCAAACACCTTCGCCACAGAGACATTCCTGGCCACAGATGAGGTATTGCCCTTTTGCTTTCTCGTTGAACAACTTTGCCAGTTAATGGCAGCTCCTGTTCTCATAGCGATGGTGTCCAAATTCTTGTCCCATAAAGAAGTGAGTGTTCTTTGAGCAGTAATTATGAACCACCGATATTCTCATAGGTGTGAACTGAAGTTTCTTCTTTCCCACTTGAATGAAGCTGATTGGTTGTGTGAGCTGCTTCCAAGGCTGGGGTGGATGTGACTCAGCTTTTGGAGCGCTTGCCTAGTGTGCAGGAAGCCCCTGTACCCAGCCCCCCCAGCACCACATTAACTGGATGTGCTTGTGTGTACCTGTAAATCCCACACCTAGTGCGGGAGGCTGAAGGGTTAGAAGTTCAGGGTAATCCTCAGCTACATAATGAGTCTGAGGCTAGCCTGGGTTACATGAGATCCTGTCTTATAAAAAAAGTAGATATTGTCGATTATAGTATATTATATTATAATATATTGTTGATTATATTAATAAGCTGTAATGTTATGCTGCCAAGAAATATGGAAGATGAGAGAGAACTGTTCATGTGATTTGCAAACGTCTCCCACAGTGTTTCTAGTTACTTCCCCAGTCCCAGTGTGTCCAGGACACACATTCTGAGTTAAGTGTGAAGTCACCCCTTGTTTCTTGATCTGAAAATGCTTTCTCCCTCTCTGAAGTCAGATTCTGATTCAATGATTCATTCATCTGCACTGTTATGTATCCCATTGTATTTGAAAATGAGCTCAGGAAACATGTGTGCTCCTGCCCTTTAAACTTCTTCCACTCCAGAGAAGACCTAATGGACCCAGCCCCTTCTTCTTGTGTGAAGTTCATTTACCTGTTCCAGACACTCCCCTACCTACCATAATTCCTGAAGTGAGAACTCATACTTAATTTATGTGAATATTTCATGTACTGCTTCCCAGATGGTGTGAAGCCAAGAGGAGCTGTTCTAACATGGACCAGTTGAAAGTTTCAATTCATTAACTTTGGCTAGGAGATCTCAGGCTACTGCAACACAACAAAGACAGGATTCAGATTCTCTGCCTATCTGAGACATCTCAGTCCTCGGTCTACTCAGAAGAACTTAAACAGTTCCAACAGCTTTCCCTTGCAGAAAACTTGGCTCTCCCAAGTCTGAAGTCAAGGGTGAAGATTCCCTGGGCAGGATCCTGTATACTGGCAGAGGCAATGAGAATTATACTCTTTAAATCTTAAATAAACACGTTCCAGGCTGCTCATGGTACCTGTCCTCAGATGTCTACACCACACAAGCAGAGGTTTGTGCCTCTCAGAATGGGAGAGAGGGCCATGGTCAATGACAGGGTCCTTTCTGCGCCACAGGTACACTGTGTGGGTCATCTTGTCTGTGCTGTGATTGCGGATTCTGAGACACACGCAAAACAAGCAGCGAAGAGAGTGAAGGTTGTCTACCGAGACTCGGAGCCTCTGATCCTAACGATTGAGGTATGAGATCAAGCTGATGGCGGCACGGGCGCCAAAGAGCAGGTGTGAGTGGTGTGTCTGTTACAGTGCTTTGGCCTAGGGATGGGAAAATCTGATGTGGTGGCTTCCAGAGCACACAGAATACATGGGCTCCAAGTCTGAGCATTAGCAATTCCCAGGGACCTGGCTCTTTCTGTCTCCTCTCTGCCACTCAGAGCAGAGATTGTCCCCTGTGCCCCCAGAGAGGGCAGCTGCAAATCTTATGCTCCCTATTCATGTTTGTGAGGAGAGGTACACTATTGTCCCAGTGCTCCAAACACATGTCCTGTCACTGGTCCAGTTCTGTCCCATGTCTGTCTCTGAATTAATGACAGAGCAGATGAATGGAAGACCTGTTGTCCCAACTGAGATGGGGGTTGGGTAGATTTCTTTTTTAAGTGAATGGGCTGTGTAGGGTGTGGAGACCTAAACAAGGTGTTAGCATGGTTTGGAAGGGGAACGGTGACAACACTGAGCTGGGGCATCTGTGGCAGCCAAGATGTCCTATAGCTCCCATTCATAGCATCTCCGGCTTTGGCAGGTACACAGTGGGAACTGACAAGATAGTCCATGAAGACACTACTTTACTATTCTTTAATGCACATCTAATATATCCATGGGACATGGATCATGTGATGCCTAGAATTTCAGCAACTAAAAAACTAGAGTGTTATATTTCTATCCTAATTTTCACACAAAAGCTGAAAAGTTGTAGAGGTTGTTAGGCTTGCCCCACGAAGTGATAGCATTCGCCTGTGTGCATTCCCTTGGTTCTGGAACATGGCCTCTGCATCAACCTTAACTAAACCAGCAAGGCTTGTACTTGGTGCCTATGCTCTGAGTGTGCCCCTCACCAGCCAGTTATGCCTCTCTCGGAATGGAGGAGAAGGTCACAGTAAGGGCAGGAGCAGACCTGTAGGGTGACTTCCTCTACAGCCACAGGCACATTGTGTGGCTCATCTTATCTTAAAATGAGGGAACTGTGGGCCAAGATCAGGGATTCCATGATGCCTTAAGTTAGTTTCCCCTCATGCCTTATTCCTAGGAACATGGTCCATGGTTCTGGAAATTTCCCTCAGTGTTTTCAAATTAAATTAAAGTCATGTCAAAAGGACAAAAATAAAAATAAAGAAGTTAGGTAGTTTTCCCTGGCCAGTTTGAAATTAAAACTCCCCGTTTCATTTTCAGTTTCTTTCATTCACTCATTATGTGCTGTTCTTGCCTACTTTGTATATTCTTTCCCTAAACATTTTGATTTGAGTTATAATTACTTTTGAAGGAAATGATTTGAGTAATGATTCATCAAAATTTTGGTTGCGATCTTTACCCGTGACTGAATATCCACTCTTCCCCTTTCTGCCTCACATACAAATGGAAGTAGTGATAGCACTTTCCCCTTCCTATCTCCACTAACCCATCCCCAGTTGCCTGCAGAAAACACCAGGCAGTGGCCTTGCATGAGAGTCACCTCTTATTTTGGACAGAGGTCAAGCTCCCGTGTCCCTCAGCTGCCAGCATATGTCAGGGAGCTCCTCCAATGCCTCAGCACACTGCAGCCCTATTATCACCTTCCTGACGAGGAGTGTTTGGGAAATTGGCTCAGAATTACCCAGTGAACAATCAGTAATGGGATTGTGGTGGCCTGGCAAGCCTTATGTGAACCACCAACCCCTGGCTGGTAGACCCTGGTGCTCCACAGCCCTGTGCAAATGAAATGCTCATGGCCTAGCATGAGTCTAGCAGGCAGAGCTTGTGGCTCCAGTTATTACTGGTTTTATCTAGCATTTATATGGCATTTACGCCATCCATGTCTTTTAAATGTAATGTCTACTTTCACAGTCAGATGTATGTGTGCCTGCCACAGATGATGCCCAGAGAGGCCTACAGTCACACACTAGGACATAGAGGAGACAACTCTGGATAGATGGCTCAGTCTGGGTTGAGTCAGCTAAGTGGCTTTGGCTACATAGAGTGAATTATTAATCCTAGGGAATCTTCTGCCTGGAAAACTAGAGTTCCATTCTGGTTCTCCGAGGTATTAGGTATATTCTGATCAGGATCAGTGTCCTTGAACTCCCTGGGCATATTTTCATTTGCTTTTTGTAGAATCTTTGAAGGTTGTCTTTCGACTTAGCTTCTCAGGGCCAGTGGGAGAGTGCCTGGATTCCTTCCACAAGGGAATGCTACCCAGACCTGATCATTTCACACAGGCCTTGGGACTCCCAAGTACCACCTTTCTAACCCAGGATGCATCACTACTTTCTTCTCTATTTGCAGGAAGCTATACAACACAAGTCCTTTTTTGAATCAGAAAGGAAACTGGAGTGTGGGGATGTTGATGAAGCATTTAAAATGGTTGATCACATTCTTGAAGGTAAAACTTCCTTTAAAATGGAGCAGCTGGGAAACTTTCTGGGTAGTTTAGGGCTTCCCTTGCCTTCTGGAAACCATCCCACTACTTCAGCAGACTTTGCTCCTGGAGTGTAGGTCCCTTCCTCACACTGCCTTTCCCTGTGACTCTGATGGGATTATAAGTGGTGTAAGCAACCCAGAAACAGAGCATCCTCTCCTCCAATCCCAGCCTGTCCTGTTCCTGTGATTTCCTCCTCATTGTTGTAGGACATTTTCACCAAATACAGAATTCTGAGTTGACTGCAGTACAAAAGTTCTGTACCACTTCCTCCGGTCACCATGGATACCGAGGAGAAATAATAGAGTGTACTTAGAAGCGTTCTTCCTTGCAAAGCAGGCACTGACCTTTTCTCTGGCTGCTTTCAGGATGGAATAGTTTTGTGTTTAGTTCTTTTGAAACTGAACCGTGCTTTATCATGGAAAGATTTCTTTGGTTTTACCCAGTTTGGGGGTCACTAAGCTTCTTAAATCTGTGGGTTCAAATTTTCTTCGTAGTTTGGGTAATATTCAACCATTACTTTTCAAATATTTGATTTCAGTGACACAAATGTCAGAGTCCCTTTACTTTGTCACATGGTTTAGGAGACCCCGTTTTTTCCTTGTCTATTCATTACCATTTTCAGATTGGTGTATTTGTCTGAAGGGATTCTATCTCCCTAGGCTTCTCTCATTAGGGTCCTTTGGCTTTCATGAGACTGTTTTTCATAGCTTCAGAATTAATTATGCAAATGGCAGGGCATCTTTTCATGTAGTCTTGACTGTTGGGAAATGAAGGGAAAATGAGAAATACCTGTGTTCTCAAGCTCATAGCACCCAATTGACCAGGAGCAGTTAGGAAATAGTATTGGAAATGTGACCAAACCCGCTAAGGCACCAAACCCGCTAAGTCAAGAAGAACAGAGTGGAGGAATTAAGAGACAGGAGAGTGTGGTGAGGGTCAGAGTCACCCAGAAATCTAACAAATAAAAAGCCATAGTTTGCCTTTGCAGTGGGAGTGGGGTCTCTCTGCCTGTGGGTGTTTTGGGATTTCTGCCCTGTCTAGAACCAGCACTGGCACACGTGAGGCTCACGATGGCGGTGACTCTGAAAGCCACCTGCTAATGCCACCCTTTACTGTATCCCGAGTCTCTGCTCACTCTGCTTTCCTCTCTACCCTTTAGGGACTTCTGTCAGTGTGTAAAGTGTGTGTGTGTGTGTGTGTGTGTGTGTGTGTGTGAGAGAGAGAGAGAGAGAGAGAGAGAGAGAGAGAGAGAGAGAGAGAGAGAGAGAGAGAGAATGTTGAATGGATTTATTGGGGGACAATATCCAAGAAATAGAAATGAATTATTGGATATTCATATAGAAAAGGACACCCTATTATCTAGAGAACAAAGGGAAAGTCGGGGTTTGTTGGTGAGGAAAAGATTATCCAAGTTTCTTCTTAAGAAAGCCCAGTGATGTTGGCAGCATCACCAGCAGAGCATGGACACATTGTGACTGGTATGTGCCACGGTTTGGTAGATAAGAATTAGAATAGGGGAGTTAACAATTAGGTTCATCACTTTGGGTTGGGCGTGGGAGATGGTTTTGGAATACATATAACAGAGACTATTTTCCCCAATGGACTTTTGATGGCATTTTTATTGGCATCTTAAGTCCCTTTACATTTAAGGTTCTGGTGACTAGACGTATTTAGTGGGAGGAATGGGGGGTGGGGACACACAATATTCCATCTCATCTTGGAACTAGAAGTCTCCTGTCACAGAATTTTGATTCTAGAAGCACAGATCTCCTTCCTTAGGGCTCTAGCTTCACACACTGAGAGACGTGAGAGCCCCTCTACCCCTCTGCTTTCCATGTGGAGCTGAATGTAGTTGTTTGTCACCTTCCCTGTGGGGCTTCTCTGTCTACAGCTCACTGGTTGAGTTTCCATATCATGAGACAAAGGGAGTGGGTGGGAGACACTGCCTGTTTTTTTTCTGTCAGGTTGTGACTTCTAAGTATTTTCTCGTACCAGGCGAAATACATATAGGCGGTCAGGAACATTTTTATATGGAAACCCAAAGCATGCTTGTTGTCCCCAAAGGAGAGGATGGAGAAATTGATGTCTACGTGTCCACACAGTTTCCCAGATACATTCAGGTAACATGGGGTCGCTGTGGGTGAGGGGATGCGGCTAAATGACTTCAAAATGTACCAAGAACATAACAGGCAAAACCACATATTAAGTATTAACATACAAATAAAATTTAATATAACAGGTATATAGTTTCCTAACTCAGAAGAGGGTTTTTGTTAAAGTAGAGAGAAAATCTTTGTGGGTCCATAGCTTTCAAGTCAGTTATGCAACCAGCAGGCATCTTTTGATATTCTCCTGGCTGTTGAGAAACAAGGGAAATGAGAAAGGCCTGTGCTATCAAGCTGATCGTAATTAATTGACAGGAAACAGTTAAGAAACAGCATTGGAAAGGAAGTGGGAAGGCATTAAATTCAATAATTTAAAAGTAAGGAGAGTGTGGTGAGGCCAGAATCACCCAGGAAATCCTACAAATAAGCCTTAATTTGCCTTCTTAGTGGAGGATGTTTTGGAATAGAGGCTCTCCCTGGCAGTTCTGCAGTAAAACACTACTCATTCATTCACCCACCCGTCTCTTCTGAAATCAGTGGTTGTTTATGTCCATGTTCCAGGCAACTCAAATGCAAGAAAGGAGATGATGCCTTCCTGAACTGGTCTAAGCAAGATGGAATACTCAGGGAGCTAAGTGAAGGGATCCAGAGATAGTGGGGAGGTACCAAGGCCAGAGGAGGAGGATGCTTGGATGTGAACAGGGACACTTGGGGAAGGTCGGGCACCAACAGGGACCAGATCACTGCTGTTCCTCAGCTCTTCTGCTCCATTCCCTGTGTGACAATGGGCCATTTATCTCGGGCTCCCACTCAATAATAATAATAATAATAATAATAATAATAATAATAATATAGCAGTTGTTAAGACAAAATGATCTATAAATATTGGGATGACAAAAACAGGAACTCACATCCTGTGAAAACAGATGGTCAGTATCCACAGTCACCCACTAAGGATGTTAAATGTAGAAACCAGCAAATAGAGAATCCAAGAAGCCTTTCTACTGTTTCAGGAAACATGCCTGAGGGATTAGTGTGAGAAGGATACTCTGTCTGTACTTCTAGCAGGCACAGAACAATCTCACTGCTAAAGAAAAAGCTAGGTAATATTAATAGTGGTGTTGGCAAAGTCATTCTAGCCAAATATGAACAGGCATGGTTGTAGGTGATGGTAAAGCTATTGGACATTTTCCTCTCTGTCATTTACTATCACCACATGAACCTCAGGGCTTGTGTATCATACTGAACATTATGAAATCTAATTTTGTAATGGTTGTGATCCTCAGGGAATAGGCTTCCTGTTTAGCTTGTTAATATTACAGGGATGGCCTGCTGAAGATGGGCCAGAATAATGAAAACTGGTATTGTCCACAGGAAGTAGTTGCCTCTACCTTGAAGCTCTCAGCCAACAAGGTCATGTGTCATGTCAGGCGTGTTGGTGGGGCCTTTGGAGGAAAGGTGGGCAAAACCAGCATCATGGCAGCCATCACTGCATTTGCTGCCAGCAAGTAAGTGGGGGAAAACTGTTAAAGAAACTGAAATGAAATCTTAATAATGGCACTTGTAATGAGAAAGATTCTCCATTAAGTTATATAAGATCACATATTTCAAACCAATATTCCAACAAGATGCCAGCTTATGAAAATTCTTTGTTTTTTGTTGTCAGTGTCAATAAGAACCAAAATAAGCATCGATTACTGAAAAATATGGCCAAAGCCATTTTAAAAAATATTATAATACTTGAGCTGGGTACTGGTGGCCAACACCTGCAATCCCAGCACTAGGGAAGGAGAGGCAGGTGGATCTCTGTGTTTTCAAGTACCCTATTCTACAGAATGAAATTCCAGGACAGCCAAGGCTATAGAGAGAAACCCTATCTCAAAAAAACAAACAAATAAACAAAAAAACCCAATAAACAAATGAGATATTATAATACTTGGAAAGTCAGCAGAAACAGGTCCTGAGTGGGTGGGGTTACTTGTCCCAAGCATTGAGAGTCTGTACTGTCTGCTGTCTGCTTACAAATCAGATATGTAACCTGCTTCATCTCCCAATATCAACCAGCCTTCCTTTCTCTCCCTCTCCCTCTCTCCTTCACTCGTGTGTTTGTCTTTCTTTCTCTCTTGAATTATATAGACACTGCCTGGGTTAACCTTACATTTATGTATCTGCTGTTTTTCAAGGAGGATGTTAAATCCTCACCATAGGAATTTCCCTTGGAGCCCCCACTCCTATAAGACTTAATCTCACTGCAGAATAAAGCTGGCTCACTTGCTTGCTTGTCTCACTCTTCCTTCTTTTCTGTCTTAGACATGGTCGTGCAGTCCGCTGCGTTCTGGAAAGGGGAGAAGACATGTTAATAACTGGAGGCCGCCACCCTTACCTTGGGAAGTATAAAGTGAGCAGAGGAAAAGGGTGTGGGAAGGGTGTGTGCTGCAAAGAGAACAGTCTATGAACGCACATGGCAGCGTTTGGCTGCTGTGATGGGGGAAGAAAAAGGGCATCGACAGATGTGTCTTCGTCAGGGTGTCTACTGCTGCAGTGGAATGCCATGACCAGTCACCCACATTTCCATGTTACAGCCCAGCGTTGAAAACAGTTAGGGCAGACACTCAAGCGGGGCAAGATCCTGGAGGCAGGAGCTGATGCAGAGGCCAGGAAGGGATGGTTTGCTCCCGTGCTTTCTCAGCCTGCTTTCTTACAGTACCCAGGACCATCGGCCCAGAGGTGGCACCACCCACAATGGGCTGGACCCTCTCCCATCAACCACTAGTGATCACCAATGCCCTCCACTTTGCTACAGCCCAATCTTAGAGAGACACTTTCTCAATTGAAGTTCCCTCCTCTCAGATGACTCTAGCTGGTGTCAACTGGACATAAAAACAGCCAGGACAGCAGAGTAGTCTGTTTTTGTTCTCTTGTGCTCCAGTTTAGTTACCACCCTGTTCAATGGGATTCCTGCTTTGCTCAGAGATGTCAGCTAGAGAGAGAACCAGCTAGCATCGTGCACTGCAGATTGTGTAATTGGAAAACCTGTGACTGTGTATGTCCCTGAAAATAGATCTGATAACCATTCTTTTCACACATGAAAGGTAAAAGTAGAATAATTCCTGTAACAATAGGGCTATATGAAATTGCAATTATTTGCAAATGGTTCCTCATTTTTTAAATATATCAAGCATATCTTGAAAAACCGTGACACAGAAATTCCTAGAATAGTTTCTATAGTAGAAAATAATTACCTTTTTTCCTTTTAAAAGACTATTTTACATTTTAAAGTTGTTTGACTACTTTACCAAATAACCAAAATCTCTCAGGATCTTAAACCTTTATTATGTTCTTTCTCATTTAGGCAATAGCCTTGTAGCCTGTATAGATTTGGGGAGGCAGGATTTGCTCCAATCATTCAGGGACTTGTTTATCTAATGGCACTTTACCACATTAGACTGCACTGTCAAATGTGTTAACAACGAGGTGCATACGATTATTTCAATTCACATTTAAATGAACAAAATGCAATTAAACTAAGGTTATGTTCTATACTTGTGTTAACTATTTCAAGTACACAGTGACTACCTTTAGTTATTGACTACCATATTATAAATGTAGACAAAAAATGTTGTCATCTTCCCTGAGGGTTATATTGGAACCCTGTTCAGTGACTCTGAGACCTTCACAGAGCCATCTACCCAAGGCAACAGGAAAAGGCATACTCACTGGACGATATATCAAGGACCAAACCTGCAAGTGTTGGACTTTGCTTCTGTCCAGACATCTTTGAGTCTGATTTTGGCACCCACCTGTGGGGATAGCTAACAAATGTAGTCTTGTGCCCCTTGGGGAGGTTCAGAGCTTCAGAATAACAACTTTAATCTTGACTTCACATGGAACACTGAGACTGAGTAATTGTTGGTAAGTCCCATGCTGTAAGTTTCTTGAGTTTTACAGTAGGCTCATGCCTAGTACCTGATTTATTTCCATTTCAAAGATAGCCAGAGAGCTTATATAGAATTCTATTTATTTTTCTTGTGGCTGTGACAAAACACCCTAAAAAACTTAAAGGAGTAAGGGTTCATTTCAATTTTTAGTTGACCCGGTACCACCCATCATGGCAAGGAAGAGCTCAAAGCAGCTGCTCACGTTGCATTGCAGTCAAGAAGAAAGCTATGAGAACTGTGGCCAGCTACTGGTCTCCTTTTATGCAGAATAGGACTGAGCCACGGGAATGGTGCCACCCATTGTTAGGGTTGGTCTTCCTACTTCAGTTAACACAGTCATGAAGATCCCTCCCAGGGATGTCCAGAAACCTGTCTCCTAGGCAGTTCTATATCTGTTGAGCTGATAATTAACACTGACTACCACATAGCATTTTCTCAGGAGCACTAAGCCAGCTCTATATCCAAGAAGCAGCTGTGAGATCTGAGTCCATGAAGCTTTTCCAAAGTATGACTAAGCTGACTTGTAACGTGTATGGGTTTTTTCGCCTGCCGCCTTTGGTCTTGTCCTGCTACCGCGCCAGCCCCAAATAATACACAGAGACTCTGTATTTGGTATAATACTGTTGGCCCGGTTACTTGTTTCTTATCAGTTAGCTCTGCCTTAATTATTAACCCATTTTTGCTGATCTATGTATTTCTCTTACCGGGGAGCCGGCAGCATACTGTTTTCTTCAGACTCTCCATCTTGACTCCTCCTTCCTACTTCCTATTTCCTCCTTGTCTCCTAGTCCCTCCTATCTTTCTTTCCTATTGGCCAACAGTGCTTTATTATTAACCAGTATGAGAAACATATATACATAATGGCATCTCCCATCACTGACTTTCTATAGACTTGACCTCCCTAGCCAGCATCAACAGTCAGTTCTCTCCTGCTCCAGGTTGGATTCATGAACGATGGCAGAATCTTGGCCCTGGACATGGAGCATTACTGCAATGCAGGGAGCTCCCTGGATGAGTCATTATGGGTAAGTGTGTTAAGGAAGTTTTCTTTCTCCAAGAATGTTTCATAGAATGATTCCACTCAGGAACTATTCACTCTTTACCCAACACTTAATGACAGTACAGAGACTCTCACTGCAGGAAAGCATGGATTCTCACTGCAAAGCACAAGTGGATCCCAGGGACCTTGGCCAAGCGTGCATCTGTGTTTCCCCTCTATGCTTCCCACACTACATGTGAGCAGTAGACCAGGCTTCCCCAGCTTTGGCCCTGTGGATATTTTCAATTGTGTAACTCTTCATGGGGCTATCTGTGCATTATAAGCTAGTCACAAGCATCCTTGACCTGTGGACATCATTGGTATGCTACCTCCCAGTCTTAGCAGTCACACCCAGTTCTAGACATTGCAAAAAATCCACATTTGGTGGAAGGATTTCCTCTCGTTGAGTATATGTTCATTAAAGCAAATACCAGAACTTCTTTTTAAAATTTCTACACTGTTGACAGCTAGTCTTTTAAGAAGAAAGAAACATCTATACTGTCTCATTCCATAGGTCCACTGGTTACGAGCTATAAACATATCCAAGACTTTGGAAATAGTTGGAAATTGAAAAAACACATTTTCTCTAAAGTGTGAAAATGAAAGGTAGTAATTGGGAAGAATTCAAATCCTTTAAGAATATTTTACAGCAAGGATATATTTACTGGCAATGCCATGTCTTTGGGCGTTTTTGCTGATCTGTGAAGAGGGGGACTATTTCCAGTCTGGTTTCATTGTGAGGTGTCTGCATGGTGGGACATGTACAGAAGACCAAGCTCTCTCACATCCATTCTGGGTTTCTCCAGGTGATAGAAATGGGACTTCTGAAGATGGACAATGGTTACAATTTTTCCAATCTTCGCTGCCGGGGCTGGGCCTGCAAAACCAACCTTCCATCCAACACGGCTTTACGTGGGTTTGGCTTTCCTCAGGCAGGGCTGGTCACTGAAGTCTGTATCACAGAAGTTGCAGTCAAGTGTGGGCTGCCCCCTGAGCAGGTAACTCTAGTCTCCTGTATAAAAGATGCTGACTATCTGAGACCACAATGCTTGGGATCAGTCAGGTTAAACAATAGTGAGGTGATCCAGAGATTAAATATGCACCTGAGTTTGCCCAGTTAACTAGTTAATACAGTCAGTAACCAACTTTAGTGAACTAGTCTTACCAGTGCTCCACCTTATAAAAACTGATAAACACTGATTTTAAGATTGTAAATTGGATTTTCACTTGGTTAGTGAGAAGTTCCCATTAGCTGGGGTTGTATTATAGTTCTGTATTGCTTTTTAAAAAATGTCGGCAGCTTATGTATGTGTGTATGTGTGTGTGTATGTATGTATGTATGTATGTATATTTGCACACATATCTATGTCTATGTCTATATCTGTATGGTCTGTTTCTCTCAGACTTTAGAAGTCTAAGACCATGATGCTAGTATCAGTTTGGTTCTGAAGATCGCACAGCAGTTGACATTGCAGGATCTTACCCAGAGGGGTCCATATGGCAGAACAAAGGATTTAGCAATCAAAAGCACTCTTTGTTAGTAATTCAATCTTGTGGGAAGTATCCAGGATCTCATGAGAACTGCCAAGTCTCTAGATAGGATACCACTTCCCACCTGGCCTCACTTTTGAAATGATCCCCACCCTAACACCACTATTCTGAGAAGCTCACCTCACATGTCCCTTTCTTTGCCCGATAAATCACACATAAACTATAGCAACAGTGTAACCATCACTGAGGCCTGCCAAACCCCTTTCCTTGTTTCCTTAATATCTGAGGCAGCTGTCACAAAGTATCTTCAGCCAGGAATGCCTTGAGGCTGCACAGGGCTTTTAAGGTATCCATTGCATTGGTGGGAACTGAGACTTTTTTAGATTAGGCAGAAAAAAAAAACCTTTCACACACTGTCTTGATGATTCCTTTCTTGATTCTTTGTGCTTTTGTGCTCTTTCTGCATTCTAGCTGCATCTTTACTCTTGATGTTTCTCTTTTAACTCGCTCACTCTTGATATTAGCTGCTTCTTCCTCTTCTGTTCTTTTCCTTACACCTCATATACCCCCAATAAGAGTTTCAGGCAACACAGGGCCTGCACAGGGGTTACATTCCAATTCTCAAGCGAATGAACACATGTAAAAGATTAAAAACAGAGTCATCCATCTAACTCACATGTCTAAGTAACTTATTACAGAGCAAGGAAGTAGCAACTCTTTCATTGGCAGGCTACGAATTGTGATTGTAATGAAAGAAGCAATCACTTTTTTAGCTGTTTTTAGAGGTAATCTTATAAGGAATTTTAATGGAGTCATAAACCTAAGCTAATGAAGAGCACAAGGGAAATGAAAAATATGTGCATTTATAGTCTATATAAACATTTTGAACTAACACCCTGTAATCAGGGCTAGTAGTTTCCAGATTCTCTTTGGGTCCCCTAGGTACATAGAGAGTGCCAGGTGTAGGATAAATAGACTTCAGGCTATCATAAATCCTCTAATTCAGTCTCAGGTTAACAATCCTGAGCTACCATAAAAGTTTTAGCATCAGCTCATTTCAGTACTCCCAAGAAACTGTGACACCCTCGCACTTTAAATATCAAAATGAATTTTCTGCCCTGTGTGTAACCCTTGATCACAAAAAGAAACTTGTTTCTCTATCTCAGGACTATAAAGTCATATTTTTTTCTGTTGTCTTGACCAGCCAGAACTTCTCTCCCTACTGTGTTTCTGAATAAAAGCTGTTTCTGTCTCTATACCTTGGTTCTCTATTCTCCGTCACCTGCAAAAATCCAGGACCCAATACTTCTATACATAAGAAACAGTCAGCTGAACTTTGAGTCTTTAAGATACATACCCTTATGAGAAAATGGAGGCCAGGAATCTGTGCAGAAAATTAATCACTGTCCTAGTTTATCAATCAGACTTACCAAGGAAAATGTATGCAGCAATCAGGCTGCTTTGCTATTTCAGCCCTAGTCCAACAAATCATACAGCTCAACTATATGTCTTTGTAAACTTTAGATTATTCTTCTGGGGTTATTTATCTTAAAAACTATTAGCAAGGTATCTGGTCTAACCTAAAGTTATTTTTAAAGCTTTGCTTCTGCTAAATGTACATTCCAAAATCTGTGACTGGGTCTTTTCAGCATTAAGAGAATTGGAGCCAGCCTGGCTCCTGGGTTAATTCAGTTGGGCACCTTGACTGTTAACCAGAGTTGTGTTCCAAATCATTTCCTTCAGTGGAGCTCATAGGCCTTAGGTGTGAAACATATCCTTGCATATATTTTTCTTTATAAAAACTCTGTATAAGCTATCATTATCATTATCATCTAGATAATACAGTTAAGGGAGGAATAATCTTCTTGAAAATCGACAGATAAAAGTGCTCAGTAGATCCAGATGTATTATTGAGATAAACACACTAAAATACGGGCAGTGGGGGTCTTTCCACATCCACTTATGCCATGCCTGATACAAAGGAAAGATTGTAGCAGTAACTTGTAAAGGCATAGCAGAATCAAAAGACATTGCAGAGTCTGTAGTCTCACAGCCATTCTCAATGAGGGTCACTTATCACAGAGTTTTCTTCTTGGTGGGCTAACTCCTTGAAGGGCAGTTGCCAACTGTTGTACCTATGACATGGGCACCTGCAACAAGGATTTCATTTCAGTTATTCAGTTGTCATCTGTTGGGTCTTTTAAGTCTCAGCCTTGAATTCATAAATTAGCAAAGGTAATTCCCTTTTTGATGCCTCCTCCACCCCAGGATCTAGCATGGAGTTTAGGTAGGGAGACATGCTGAGCTGTCTCTCCCTCTCCTCTCCTCCTCTGCACTGTGCCAGGGAGGACAAAGGATGAAAAGGAGTACCTGAGAAAGCACACACACACACACACACACACACACACACACGCACGCACGCACGCACGCACGCACGCATGCACGCACGCACGCACGCATGCACGCACACATGCACTCACACACCAGGACTGTTCCCAGTCATTTACAGTCCTCACTTAGGCACTTATGCAGATGGACCTCACACAGAACTGCCCCTGACAAGCACACTAATTTGCCCCCTGCTGGAGCAGGCTTGGAGAGCCCAAGCCCTCAGTTCATCTGCATTCCCCCCTTGCCTCTATGACAACAGGCAGGAGCCATCTTCTTCATGTCTCTTAAGCTTGTAGGGACCCTTGTCCCCCTCTTTCTGGCCTTCTGACCACAGCCTCTGTCCTTGTTATGTTGGTAGCAGGAGGGAGAGGGAATTACACAAGGACATCCCTTCTTGTTCAGAATGGTCTCTTAAAATCTGCTTTCCCTCAAATGGCATGTTGCATAAAGTTCCACTTTCCCACTTACAGGGATCAGAGCAATTGCTAGTGGGGTGGCTGGTGTGTGTGTGTGTGTGTGTGTGTGTGTGTGTGTGTGTGTGTGTGTGTTTATAATGGCCTCTGTCTGCTTGCTGGCCATAACTGTGAGGTTCTCTCAATTACAAATATAAGGCACATGGTGTCTTTGCTCTTGGCTGAGGGTCTTAGCTGCCAGTTCTGGGAAGACAGTAACAGTCTACTCAGGGCACCAACTTCTGGGGACAGAATCTGCTCATTTGTGGTTCCATGCATAAGACATTCCTGTGACTGAGCCTGTCAACATTTCATCATGGACAGTGGAAAGAGCTCATGAGGCTTCACCCTGCCTTGGAGGACTAAAGTCTGTTAATGGTTGCTGTCAGCAGGGCATGCCACTTTCTTCAGTGGTGGAGCCATTGGTCAGTAGTTCATGTTTCAGGAAATGGCCTTCCAACCTTGTCTACTCAGCCAACTCTAAAATTCTATACAGTTGTTCATTCACACAAAAATGTACAGGTCTGGGAGCTTGGGTAGTAGAAAGGGTTCAGTGGAATGGGGGGTTTGGAAGAACCCTCCGGAAGAATTCACAAAGCAACCTCGTTTGCCATTCCACTTAGCCATCAGTTATATTTAAACAAATATCCCTGTTGATTAGCCTTGGGAATAAGTGGTCCTGTTTCACCAAGGGCATCTAAATAACCCAGGTTGCACAGCCCAGGCATCTTTCAACAGGTGCCCAAAATACAAGAACTGAGAGTCAGGAATGTACCCGGACCACACTGTGACACCTGAGAAGAGATGTCAAGGGCTCAGTCCTGTAAACTTGCTCAAGAGCAGCATGCAAACAAGAGAGTCTAGCATAGTTAAGGGGTTCTGAGGGGAGGATGAGGACGATGTCATGCCTTGAGAAGGGCTTTAGTAACAAGGAGGCAGAACTGGGCTCAGCCAAGTAGGAGGGGCAGAAGTGGATGAAGAAGACAGCGGATGGACATGACTATGTCTTCTGGGTTTCCCTCACGTTTTAATCTCCTTTCCTTTCATAGGTTCGAACCGTCAATATGTACAAGCACATCCATAATACCCCCTACAAGCAGGAGATCAATGGGAAGACCCTCACTGAGTGCTGGAGAGAATGCATGGCCAAGTCTTCCTACTCCATGAGGAAAACAGCTGTCAGGAAATTCAATGCAGAGAATTCCTGGAAGAAGAGAGGGCTGGCCATGATCCCCCTGAAGTTTCCTGTGGGTATGGGCTCAGTATCCATGGGACAGGTCAGTTCTTGAAACACAGTTTGAATGTCACCTGGCAGGGGCTTGGGAGACAAAGGTGCTGAGGATTAGTCATATGATGGCACTGCTCAACTGTCAAACCCCGCCCAGGTTGTGCTTAGCAAAGCCTGTACTATCCTGGGACAGGAGAACTTGTCTGCTTCTGCCCCCACTGTGGGGAGAAACATCTTGGTGGGACATGGGGGACCTTTGATTTACTCCTGACTGGTGCTAAGCAGCTGAGATAATTGTCCACAGTCCTGGAAGTTCATCTGACCAGTAAGAGACTCACTGTCCAGGTACTGTGACTCAGAGTTTCAAGACAAAAACATTAGAAATGGGAAATTATAGGCCCATAGGTGCCCTTCTTCCTCACAAGGTAAGGGTTCATTACACATGGAAAAGTAAATTATTTAACCTTAAATTATTAACCTTTTAAATGCAATTTTAGGAGTTGGTTCTCCTTGTAACTGTCAAGGGGGAAGACTGGGAACTGTTCTCATGGTTCCTTATCTGTCTAAATAAGTCTTAGCTACTAAAGCCCGCTGTGTGCGTAGGTGTGTAAGCATGTGTTGACTGTATATGTGTGTGTGTATTGCACACATACATAAAAATAAAACAGATCTTTAGATTTTGTCTCATCCTACCCTCACCTACAAAAGTTGTGTCCTCATTTTCAGTATGAGAACACTGAAATTTGGGGTTTCGAACACCTAACCCCTTCCCCACAGCTGGTGGAATCTTGGCCAAGGCTGACACTGGTGTGCAGGCAGCTCTGGGGACTGTAGCCTCAGAGCACCCTTTGATGGAAGTGAGGCAGGAGTCAGCTGACCTGAGGAGAGAGGAGGCAAGGCCAGCACTGCAGCTTGGTCCTTAGAGCTGTGAAGAGGCCTCCGTGGACACCCTTGCTTTAAAGCTATGCTTAGGGATGTGGAGACTGGGATCTGTCACACAGCATACTTGCTGGAAGGCACGTCCTGAAAGGCTGTGTTCTGCAGAAAGCAGCTAGAGGAGGGGAGCAGGGATGAGACTGGAGGCCCCTCCACACAAGGCCTGAACTGGTGGCTTTGTCTAACGGGGCTTGATTTCATCTAGATGGTGATCCCCTCTGTCTTCTGACTTCTGTCAGGAGACACAGGGGGCTAGCAATCTGTTTCATGAGATGTTGTTTACTAAGTAGAGGCATTTAAAGACATGTATATCCAGGATTCCAACCCCATTCTGGGCAGAGCAGCATTCAGGTTTCTGTGTAGAGACCCTTTGTTGAAAATGCAAATGTACACATGTATAGGTTGAAGGGGAAGGGCATAAGAGTCTGCACACATGTTCTAATAGTTAGAGGTCATCCAGGTAGGGAGAAACAGCTTCGTGACCTGAGCATGCCTAACTCTGGATCCCTGTCTTCACTGCCCCACACTGCCTACCCTGGCAGAAGCAGCTCTCACCCAGATGCTCAGGGGTTCAAATGATTCTTTCATGTCTAGACTGTGTACCCTGAAGGATGCAGGTGGCATCTAGTTAACCTCTGCATTTCCAGGGCTTATTTCAGAGGAATACGGTAGAGTTCCAGATAAGGCATGGCTGCAGTATTTGGGGACTCAAGATTAGGGCTAATTCTCACCAAGTGGATAAACTTCTCTCCACACTTTGGAGAAGCATCTGGCTCAGTACTCTAGTTGGGCTGGTTTTGTAACTGGAGCTTTGGGGACTTTTCTTTTGTGATGCTGACATTGAGTCATGTATTGTGTCATTTACCAGAGCCGAATTTGACATTTTTCGTGGTCTGAGTTTGTAACACACCATGGAACTAATTACTCAGCAGACTCTGATACAAATGCTGTCCTAGACCTGCAGGGAGAATGCTCTCACCAGCAGGGTCATACAATGGAGAGACCAAAGCCCAGAGAGACTGCTCCATCTGCCAGCCCAGTGCAGGCAGCCAGCTCTGGGTTCTCGGAAGAGGATACCTCTCCTTATGTTAGATTCAGGAAGACATGCCAGGATCATGAAACGGTGTCTCCAGGAGTCTTGTAAACTCAATCTTTCCCATCTCTGCAGGGCCCTTATGTATATCAATATAATATTACATTCTAACACGGTATGTTTAGGCGCTGAGTGCCTTTGCCCTCAGACACAGGCTATCCTAATTTTGTCAAGACATCACTAGTTTACACCTGTTGACCAGGAAAATGGAGATTGCCTTCACTGTCTAAATGTCTTCCTTTGAACAGTGGTGACTTCAGCTTGCCCACTAGAGAAACACACTCATTTGGATGTGGATAAAGGGGCAGTTCTCCAGGTGTGGTTCTCAGGCCACGCATGGATGTAAATTCCTTCTAGTGGCAGAGTTGATCTAGGAAAATAGTCCTTTGTGTAGGTTTATCTGGTGATGTGGAATCCCTGAACTTTGACTTGTGACCAGGGCTGCTTACAAGTGATCTGAATAATAGTCTTGATAAAATTTTAGGTTTATGTAATTAGAAATTACCTTACCAGGATTTCTATAGATATTATTTCTACAAATCCCAAGTTAAGCTAGGCACACTGGAGAGAAGGAAGGGTTTTATGTGGCTCACTGTGGACAGAAACTCGAGACAGAGGGATGACACAGCATCCACATTCAGGAAACAGCTAGCAATCAATAATGAGTCTTGGCTCATTTTATGCTTTTAATATATTTGAGGAACCCATCCTCATTAGGGTGAATTTCCACGAGTTCCATGAGTTCAAGCAACCCAAACTCCTGGCTCCTTGTTTATATGCCCAGAGATTTCTCTCATGAATGATTATAGGTCTCTTTGACTTAACAATCTATATAAACAATTGCAGGTAAAATAGCACAGTGAATTCAACTCCACTGCGGACAGTTGTAGCCCAGCAAGACTTGGAAGAAGCCCCATGCTAGACTCAGTGGTACCATATCTTCACTTAGTCTAGCTGCTTCTGAGTAGGTGAACTTTTAATTCTGTGAGCAGCTCAGTTACTTCTGCATCCATTAGAGGACCTGCACTATCAGATGTCCACTCCAGACATCTGCAGACCTGTGCCAAGTTCGTTTAGGTCAGTGGTTCTCAGCTTGTGAGAAATGACCCCTATGAGGGTCACATTATCATTTATAACAGTAGCTAAATTACAGTCATGAAGTACCAAGGAGATAATTTTATAATTTGATGTTATTACAACTGAAGGTTTGCAGTATTAAGGAGGTTGAGAACCACTAGGTTATTTTGTAGCCAAACAAAATGAGTCTCTGTGCACCTGATTTGGATTTGCATTTGGGGATATCACCATGCAACACTTGCCTTGCCGTTGCCATGACACTGGTTGATATATATATATATATATGTGTGTGTGTGTGTGTGTGTGTGTGTGTGTGTGTGTGTGTGTGTGTGTGGAGAGAGAGAGGGGGAGAGACAAGAGAGAGAGAGAGAGAGAGAGAGAGAGAGAGAGAGAGGGAGAGGGAGAGAGAGAGGGAGAGATCAGAGTCTGGGAGGGTTTTAGATGCAGTGATATGTCCTGACAGGGGTCAGAGCCTTTTCTCATTGATTTCTTTTCAACCCCTCCTCAGGCAGGTGCCCTGGTTCACATTTATCTCGATGGCTCTGCACTGGTCACTCATGGTGGGATCGAGATGGGGCAGGGCGTCCACACTAAAATGATTCAGGTAAGAATACACACCCTGGATTCTATTGAGTATGTCCTCACACATGGGTTCATGAGGGAAGACGGTGAGCATATTTCTCTGTCCCAAAATAAAAGGGTAGGATACTGTAAATTTGCCAGCTTAAGCATTAATCTATTAGCAGGAAGTGATAAACAAGTCAGTTTTATTACTGAACCCCAGGAAAGCATGTGCCAAAAGATGGGTTTGTTTTATTGTTTAAGAGGGCTTCGTGTTTGATTTCTGCTTTCATTGAATGTATTGACACAGAATTATCCTCTTCAGAGTGTTTGCTGGGAGGTGAAAAGATGTGTAAATTCTGGTGGATTGTAATTTTTCTTGCCCTTTTTATATTAAGGGCTCTGAACAATCAAAAACATAAATCGGACTTGATATCTCTACCCAGTGCTTATTAGCAATTCTGTGTTAGGGTCCTTCTGTTTTGTCTGATTTTCTTACTATAAATTGCTAAGATGTTGCTGGTGTAATTTTGTTGATTATCAGGGTTATTCAACTAATCTTACAAAGAATGAGCACTGCTTTGTGTCATTGTAAATTCTTCACAATTGCCAGGCATGGTGAACTACAATCCTAGCACTCTGGAGGCTAAGGCAAGAGGATCAAACTCAGGCCAGAATCGGCCACACAGAGACATCCTATCTCAAAAACGAAACAGATGAAGCCATTCTTAACAATCATGATTTTAATGGCTGCAGGGGGGGATGCAGTTTTAATTAACTCTCAGTTATTGAAGTATTCAATGGATATTTCTCAAAATAAACCTATTGTTTTCTAAAACTACTCTCCTGTGAAGACGTTACTGGATTATGGGGTATCAGTGTTTGGAATTATAGACACATTACTAAATTTTATTTCATAAAGTATCTGCTGCATTGTGCCCTTGACTAACTCTAAATTTGATGAATTGTTGAAATAATTAGATAATTTGCCAGGTGAATGAAAGTTTTTGTTCAGTTATAGGAACTGGGGATGTGTAGGATTTCTAGTTTGTTTATTTGTTTTTGTTTTCATGCTGCTAGCGCCTGAGAGTTCTCTAGTTCTACTTTTCAGTGAGATTTCCGTTTTCCTTCTTGCCCTAAAGACCTTATGTTGAGAGCCCGTGACTCTGTCTGCATGCCTTTAGAGAGCCTCCCTTTCTGGAAGGCTCAGGACGCCTGTGTCTGTGGACAAGTTGTGGACAAACTCTATCAAGCATACTGTTAGCCAGAGAGAGATGAATCAACTAACATGATTTTCTCCAGCGCTAAAAGTATGGACCAAAGCAACCTCCAAGCCCCATGTTGGTTCTCAGCTCCTGCATCATCCCCGCCTCTGTGATGCATGTGTTCTTAAGGAAATGTCCTTCCTGAGTGTGTGCATTTCCTGCACTGTAGCAAGAGCTGTGCATGAAAACCAGGCAGCTCCTGCTAAAATTTGTCCTCTTTGCTAGAATATTGCAAAGTGTGGTGGTGAGAGTAGCTCAGCAGTGTTGATTTCGTTCATACAGAGATGTGGATGAAGCTTTTCCCCATGCACTAGTGTGGATCCTTTTCCTGATTTATTTCTTTTATTCATTTTTTTGTTTTTATTCATTTATTTTTTTTATGTTCCTATCCCAGTTTCCCCTCTCTTCTTTCCTCTGGGGGAAAGTAAGGCCTTCCCAAGGTAGTCTACTAAGTCTGTCCCATCATCTAGTTGAGGCAGGACCATGGCACCTCTCCACCCTAAACATCCCTGTATCTAGGCTGGACAAGGTATCTCTCCATATAGAATGGGCTCTATTAAGTCAGTTTGTGCATTAGAATTAAATCTTGGGCCCACTGCCACGGGCCTCATATATTGTCCCAGACATACCATTGCCATCTATATTAAGGGAGTCTAGTTTTGCCTTATGCAGGTTCCCCATTTGTCAGACCTGATTCAGTGATCTCAATAGCTCGGGTTAGCTGAAAGTGGGTTTCCCATCATAGTCTTAACTCCTTTGTTCATATTGTCACTCCTCCCTTACTTCAGTTATACTCCGGAGCTTGGCCCATTGGTTATTTGTGGATTTCGGCATCTGCTTCCATCTGTTTCTGTAAGAGGGCCCAAGCTTTTCTGGGGTTGTGGATTGTAGGCTGGGTATCTTTTGCTTTATGTCTGGTATCCACTTATGAGTGAGTACATACTATACTTGTCTTTCTGGTTTGGGATTACCTCACTCAGGATGTTTTTTGTTTTGTTTTGTTTTGTTTTTTGTTTTTTGTTTTCCTAGTTCTGTCTTTTGCCTGAGAATTTTAGGAGGTCATTTTTTCTTATTCCATTGTGTAAATATACCACATTTTCCTATATCCATTCTTCAGTTGAGGGGCATCTAGGCTGTTTCCAAGATCTGGCTATTACAAATAATGTTGCTATGAGCATAGCTATGAACAAATGTCCTTTGGTATGAATGTGCCTCCTTTGGGTATATGCCCAGCAGTGGGCAGCGTCTTAAAGTGAGTTGGCCCCTAATTTTCTGAGAAATTGCCATATTGATTTCCACAATGGCTGTACAAGTCTGTACTCCCACCAGCAACAGAGGAGTGTTCCCCTTTCTCTGCATCCTCCACAGCATAAGCTGTCATTGGTGTTTTGATCAGCCATTCTGATCAGTGTAAAAATCATCTCAGAGTGGTTTTGATTTACATCTCCCTGATGCCTAAGGATGTTGAGCATTTCCTTATGTGTCATTCTGCCATTTGAAAATGTTCTGTTGAGAATTCTCTGTTTAGATCTGTACCCAAATTTTAATTGGATTATTTGGTAATTTGATTTCTAGTTTCTTGAGTTCTTGTATATTTTTGGACATCAGCCTTCAGTCAGCCATACAGTCAGGTGTGGAGTTGATAAAGATATTTTCCCATTCTTTTGGGAGATATTTTGTGTTGTTGATCATGTTCTTTGCTTAACAGAAGATTCTTAGTTTCAGGAGGTCACATTTATTAATTGTTACTCTCAGGGTCTATGCTACTGGTGTTCTGTTTAGGAAGTGGTCTCTTGTACCTATGCATTCAAGAGTATTTCCCATTTTCTCCTCTATGAGGCTCAGTGTGGATGGATATATATTGAGGTTTGATTCATTTGGATTTGAGTTATTGCATGGTGATAGACATGGATCTATTTGCATTCTTTTACATGTTGACAGGTAGTCATACAAGCACCATTTGTTCAATATGTTTTCTTTCTTCCATTTTATATTTTTAGCTTTTTGTCAAAAATTAAGCGTTCATACGTGTGCAGATTGATATTGTGTCTTGGATTCAATTCCATTGGTCCACCTGTCTCTTTTTACGCCAATAAAGCTGTTTTTTCATTACTGTAGCTCTCTAGTAGATCTTGAAGTCAAGGATGGTGAAGCCCCCAGGATTGTTTAGGCTATCCTAAATTTTTTCCATATAAACTTGAGTATTGTTCTTTCAAGTTTTGTGAAGAATTTTGCTGGGAATTGCATTGAATCTTTAGGTTACTTTTTGTAGGATTGCCATTTTTACTATGTTAATCCCAAAAAGCATGGGATATATTTCTATTTTCACATATCTTCTTTAATTTCTTTCTTTAAAGAGAATTGAAGTTCTTCTCATTCAGGTTTTTGTTTGTTTGTTTGTTTTGTTTTTGTTTTTTTTGGGGGGGTTGGGTGGTTGGTTATTTGTGGCTATTGTGAAGAGTGATGTTTCTCTGATTTCCTTCTGAGCCCATTTGTCATATGCATATAGGAGGGCTAGTGATTTTTTTTGAGTTATTCTTATATCCTGTTACATTACTGAAGGTGCTTATAAGTTGTAGGAGTTCTCTGGTAGAATTTTTGGGCTCACTTAAGTATACTATCATATCATCAGCAAGTAATGACAGTTTAACTTCTTATTTTCCAATTTGTATCCCTTTGATCTCCTTTTGATGTCTTATTGCTACACCTAGAACTTTAAATACTATGTTGAATAGATATGGAGAGAGTAGACAGCCTTGTCTTGTTCCTGATTTCAGTGTGATTGCTTTGAGTTTCTCTCCATTTAGTTTGATGTTGGCTGTTGAGTTACTGTATATTGCCTTTATGATGTTTTGGTATGTTCCTTGATTCCCCATTCTCCCCAAGACCTATATCATAAAGAGGTATTGAATTTTGTTCAAGGCCTTTTCAGCATCTAATGAGATGACCATGTGGTTTTTTTCTTTCAGTGTGTTCACGGGGTAGATTACATTGATGGATTTTAGTATGTTAAATCACCTCTGCATTTTTCGCATGGATCTTGCTCATGGTGGAAGATTTTTCTGATGTGTTCATGAATTTGGTGTGCCAGTATTTTACTGAGTAGGTTTGCATCTAAGTTCATGAGGAAAAATTGGTCTGTAATTCCCTTTCTTAGTTGTATCTTTGTGTGGTTTGGGGATCCTGATGTTATTTCAATAAGAAAATAAATGGAAAAGAAATGTGCTTAAAACTTGGAATCCACACTAGCTACCAGGATTTTAGAAGAGAGTGTTATTTGTACCTGAAGGAGTTCATGGTTCAGCTTCTTCATCCTTGTCATGCATATAAGGGCTGCACACATGTGCTATGACAGCCAGGCATGTGCACAGGTGGTCAACTAACCAAAGGGTTTGAAAAGAAACTTATGTTCCTACTTCTAGGTGGTCAGCCGGGAATTAAAGATGCCGATGTCCAGTATCCACATGCGTGGGACAAGCACAGAAACCGTCCCCAACACAAATCCCTCTGGAGGGTCTGTGGTGGCAGATCTCAATGGCTTGGCAGTAAAGGTAAAGCCTGCTGAAGTTGTACCATTCATTAATCTTTCAGGCCAAATCCATAGCTTGAGATCAGAAGCATTGTTCTGATCTCACTTCTCCTCAGTCCAGGGCAGGACAGGTCAGACATTCAGAGAGCAGGTGACCCAGCACCCAGAAGTTCTGTGCCTGCTGCTTCACTGGGAGCAAACCTCTTAATTCCACCCTACCCCCCCTCCCCGCACCCCAGTGACTTCCCCCTTCTGTGTTCAGTCACACTCCTACCTCTTACCAGAGCCTCACCATCCCAGTTTCATTGCCTTTCGCTCTGGCTTCTTGATACCCGAACAAATGTGCCCAGAAAGTTAATGTTCTGCAACCAGTGGCTGGCGGTGTGCAATAGACCTTGTGTTGGGTCTTGACAAAGCATAGTGTGTAAGGCAATTGTCTTAGTCCAGTGCATGTCTGACAGGCTCACACATACAACAACCTTACATGAAACCTTGCATGCCATCCTCTACTTCACTGATACCCTATGTTTCTTTGTTCCTATGTATCTCCGAGGTAACTGTGTGGGATGATGTACCATGTTGTTTAGACATTGATGTTTTTACAAAATGATTAGAATTGGCACTTAAAATCACCTACAGGATGCCTGCCAGACTCTTCTGAAGCGCCTCGAACCCATCATCAACAAGAATCCTCGTGGAACTTGGAAGGATTGGGTGAGACTCACTGGCTCTCTATGATTTATCATAGAAACTACCAAGAGAGAGGAGAGGGAAGAGAAATATGAATTGTGAATTATGTTTATTCAAAAGCCCTGTCATTGCATAATGACAACTAAATGCCCTTCTGCACGTGTTACGCGGAGGTCCACGTGCACTGGGAGAAGTGGTGTACCCGGGGATGTTTCTAATACAGAGAAAGGTGGTGTCCATGCAACAACTCCTGCACTATGCTCCAGCCTGTGGAACCTAGGTGCTTTCTGGATGACAGCTGTGTGTTCTTCTCCTTGGATTTGCTCTTCCTACAATAGAAAAACAATGCTGGCTAGCAGCATTCTGGGAGGCCCAGGTGGTCACTCATTTGGAGATGGGAAACCAGAGGCTGGAGAGATGCCTCAGAGGTTAGGAAGAGTTGTTCTTCCAAAGAATCTGGGTTCAATTCTCAGCACCCACATGGAAGCTAACATTGTGTGTAACTCCAGTTCCAAATTATTTGATGGCCCCTTTCTATAGGCAGTGCTCACAAAGTCACACCTGCATAGAAAGTACCCATATGCATAGGAATAAAATAATTTATGAAAAACACACAGGAAACTAAACATAGGGGTATGTTCTATTCAAGTCATAGACACCAATGGACTAGAAACATTCACCTTCTTCCTTGATACCCTGGCAGTCTAAATGCAGAGGACAGATTTTCTGTAGTCAACAAGTTAACTTAAAAATAGCAGATAGTTAATTGTGAGATTGAGTCGAGAGGACCTTCATGAACCCCTGGCATAGCTGCCGTGCCAACTGCTCTAGATTATTAGTTCTGCAACGTCAAAGCACAGGTTTGGCAAAGTATTGTGTAGAGTTCTTCTTTGGAAGACTCCAGGGCTGAGGAAGCTCAGTATGAGCATGTGTTCTTAGAATGCTGGAGGGTCTATTCATCCCTCTGTATCTCACCCAAAGGCTCCTGATATTGCTTAATGGCTCATTATGTAATTAATAAATATGGATAAGCTGGGTGGTGGTGGTACACGCCTTAATCACAGCACTTGAAAAGCAGAGGTAGGCTGATGCCCGTGTTTGAGGCCAGCCTGGTCTAGAAAATGAGTTCCAGGACAGATAGGACTACTCAGAGAACCCCTGTATGAAAAATTAATAATATTATTATTATTATGGAATATGAAACTTCTAAATCTGTTCTGGGCATAGATATTTTTCCCCTGCCTGGTGTTGCATGAGCCCAGAGAGGTTAAAAATGGCTGTGTGGAGAAAGTTGCATCCAGATGTAAATCACGAAAACCCCTCCTTTGTCATCCATTGCAAGTTGCTGCATTGAGCCAGCATTCTTCCATAATGCTGCATCTTACCCATCTCTCTTGAGTCTTTTGACCTAACCTTTGTTTTTCTGTTTAGTAATCAATCACATGGTCTTGCAGAAACAGGAGACCATTTTATGGAAGTGGTACAATTTAGGAAAAGCAACTCTCTCAACTGAAATTGTTATAGATAAACAACATAAAATTAAACATCGAACTATTGTGTCCAAATTCGGCCATGTTAATAGCCCAAGTCTTTCCAGATGACTGAATGGATCTCTTCATAAGGAGGGTGTGGGTGGGCATTATAGTTTATTTTATAAGCATAACATATCAGGGCAGCATTTATTACAAACATATGCACGGAGCAAATGCTTCTATGCACACAATGAGCCGTGAATGTTCATGTAGCTGGAGACTGTGACAGCAAAGGTTCATCGTGGGCTTTCCTTGTTACTGCTATACTTATCACACAGTACAGATGAAACTAAGTGCTGAGCATCTCTCGAGAATCTGTCTTATGTCATGATCTGCTGGTCCCTCACAGGCGCAGACTGCTTTTGACCAGAGCATCAACCTCTCGGCTATTGGCTATTTCAGGTAAAATATCCCTTTGATCCTATGTCATGGACAATACCAGCATGAGCTTGAGGGAGAATTTCAGTTCTATGTGCAATTTTGGCCCCCAGCCTGACTCACTCCCTTCAGTTAGCCTGCTGTTGGAATAAACCTGTATCTGCTGGTTGATCCAGGTATCCAGAAGACCTGTTATGGAGAAAATGGTTCACACAGGTGAACTTGACTTGAGTGCTGAATCGGGTCATACTGTGGCCATGATGTGGCTTTCTGGGAACTAGTGCTTGTAATCCACAGCTGTATAGCCTTTTGTTGAAAATGTAATTCATCCCTAAAGTTAAGAAATAAGGGTCAGGTGAAAGGTAAACCCAAACTATGATAGGCACCTCCAAGGGGATCTGACTAACTGTGGAGCCCTGAGAACCACAGCCTCTAGGGAATCACTTGTGGAATGTTTTCATGGAGAGTGAATGCTGAGACAGTGCAGGGTCTTAGCTGCCTTAGCTGTTCTCATCTGCCTGACTCCTACTGGCTATCAGGAATAGACAGGAAGTGTTTTTCAAGGCCACCTTCAGGCTGGGGAAACAGAGGAGACTGGGGATAGAACGTAGCAGGCTGCTGGCCTAGACTTCTTTTACCTTTGATATCCATGGGGAGTTCTTACAGAAGAGTGAGGGATGGAACACACATAGAGCCCGCTGGTAGTGCCAGCTCTTGGGAGCCATCCGGCCTGCTTCCTGACACTCAACACTGAATCCTGGACCAGAGGGATATAAAGCAGGCAGACAAGCCCCCTTGAAACCGTGTTTGGCTTAAGATGCAGGTTGAACCCCCTGTCAGATGACTATAGAAGAGGTGTTTCTTGGTCACATGTATGGGGACTTTTTTCTGTGCTGTACACATGTAGTCCTCTGAGTGGCTCAGCTCCCTTTGGGCTGGTTTAATCACTGTCTGTGATTGCAGGACTTAATCACTCACAGTGCTTCTCAACAATTGTGTCTTTCAGGGGTTATGAGTCAGACATGAACTGGGAGAAAGGAGAAGGCCATCCTTTCGAATATTTTGTGTATGGAGCTGCCTGCTCAGAGGTTGAAATAGATTGCCTGACTGGGGACCACAAGGTTAGTCCCACCTGGAAATGACTTCTGACTGTACTTGTGAGATGCTTCAACTTCACACATGCTGCCTACCAGAAGCAGTTGGGTGTGTGAGAGCTGCCCATGAATTTTCCCTAATGATGATCTCTCTGTATTACTAGAACAAAGCAAAACTCATTGCTTGCCTCAGTGGTATAACGTCTTCTGTGGAAAACAATAATCCTTCTGTTTAAGTGTTCTCTTTTTACAATTTTAAGTGTAAATAGGAAAAAAACCACTTCAGTACAGCCTGGTGAGGGCTTCCATGTAGACTGTTGTCTCAACTAGCTGTCCTGACCTCTTATAAGAAGTGTCTTAGTATGATGTTCTTGAAGGACACCATAGGTGTCCATAACTTGCTAACAAGGATCAAGGGCCACCTCAGGAAGGTAGTGGCCAATAGACCCTTTCCTTGAATAGCTGAAGTGTCATAATATATTTTGGGGGTATATGTATTCACACTCATTTACATACATGCACAACAATGTCAAGGCCATGGCTTCCTTGCTTTACATGGCCTTTGGTGGTACAGAAAACACTTTTGGCCACTATATAGTTAATGATCACAGATATATCAAATGGGTTTGTAGTAGCCTTCACAAATGCCATGTGACTAAGATATTAGTTTAGTGATAATCTACCCTAAAACCTACCCAGAAGCAAGCACTAGCTTTTGATATTTCCAAATACATTTTCTCTCTCTTCTTAGATAGTTAATCATGTATAATTTTTATTTAATATGTTCTTACCATATAATTTTAAAGTATATTTAGCCTTATCTTTAAAATTATAATAGTTTTATTGAGCCTCCCTCCCAAAATATCTAATTTGTCTGAATTCTCACTTAGACTGTCTCTTTGGGGAAGGTGGTCCTGAGGCTAAGGACTTGGAGTGATACTCCAGGTATGACTCTTGGGTTAGAGTAGCTCTCCCACTATGCTGAGGGTTCTCTAGTGATAACTAATTTCTGAATCCCTTTGCCCTCAAATAAGTTATTGGAAACATCTGTTTAGATTTTCTAAATGTCTTGGCCTTGTTAAGAGCTAAGAACAGTAATAATTAACCCAGTTTTAGTTCAAGGTTTTGTTGCTTATTTGTTTGTTTGTTTGTTTGAGTGTAATTGGACCTTTCTTGCCTCATTTATGCTTTTGATGCAGGGTCATAAGCTGCTACACACTCAGAGTTACCAAACGTAGACCTGGGACTGTGGCTCTGAGGTTGTTGTGTCACACCAGTGACAATTAAAGACATGGGCTGTTGTGCAAAGCAGAAGCAAGCTTTACAAAAAGAATTACAGCACAGTGGGGAATTGAGGCATAGTGAGAGGCTCTTCAGAGTGGAGGAGTCTCCAAGAGGGAAAAAAACACAAACCTTCCTTGGCAAGAGGTTTTTACAAAGTCCTAGTAGAGAGTGGAGGAAGTCTGGGTAACTGCTATGAGATTGTTAGCTATCTGTGTGTATCATAGGCTGAGCCAGTGGAAGGTCCCCACACACTCTGAATGTCCTTCTAGCTCAACCAGGCAGATGTCCATGAGGTATCCTCCCAGTTAGGGCTGTTAAAGGCAACACCCACCTCTGTCTATCTCTGACACATGCTTTGTCGCGTTGGGCCTTGACTTTCTGCTACCTGTTATCCCTGACTGGCATTCCATGGCCAATGTTACAGGTGACTTGCTCATATGGTCTGGCCTGGGCAACCTAAGCATGGTGACTGCGACTTGGGTAGGTTGGCCTACAGTTTCTCATACAAGTAGGAACCACCCAGTGACAAAAGGCCAGCCTACCAGAAGTTGTAGTTTTTGTTTTTGTTTTGTAATTTACTCTTTAGTGACCTGATACCTGGGTCCCAAATAAATACACAGAGAATTATTCTTCATTATGAAATCCAGACCTTAGCTTGGTTTGTTTCTTTTCTAGCTTAAATTATCCTGTTTCCCTTTAACTACATTTTGCCTCTGGCCTTTTTACCTTACTTTCTTCTGTATCTCTTTTTTACCTTCTTACCCTGTGTCTGACTGTGTGGCTGCGTTGCTGGATGACAGGCCCCTGGTGTCCTCCTCTCCTCCTTTGCTCACTCCTCCCTCTTCCCTAGATTTTCCCACCTATTTACTCTTTGCCTGCCAAACCTGCAGGCTCTTAGCCCAACCACACAAGGCTGAGCTGGGTCTGAGGAAGGGTAAGTGCACTGCTGGCCTGTTTCCCAGCCTCCCAGGATCCCAGTAACAATCAGATGCATCAGGGTGTCTAGTCAAGCAGGAACTCCTTTATCACCCCATAGCAAGCATTTTTTTTAAGGGGGAAAAACCCAAGGTGGGAAATCAGGCAGCCAATGGTTTTTAAGGCCAACCTATGGTGCACCTAGGCAGGCTGTGCTTTACCTAGTGAACAGGAGCAGTTCAGGGAGTGAGCTCATCTGGTTTGATCTTGGCAACCAATCACCCTTTTTTATAAACATCTCAGGACTTGCCTTCTTGATGTCCCCTCAGCACTATCTTTGATTGGCCCTTCACAGCCCCACCTATTTCTCTCTCCTGCCTAGCTATTGGCCATTCAGCTATTTATTAGACCAATCACGTGTTTTAGGCAGGCAAATTAACAGAGCTTTACAGAGTTAAACAAATGTGGCCTAAAGAAATGCAACACATCTTTGTTAAACAAATATTCCACAGCATAAAAAAATGTAAAACACCTTAAATTAATATTCCCCAATTAGAAGTCCTCTCTGGAGGTATGTTTCTTAGCCATTCTCATGTTAGTAATACTGACTTCCTCAAAATTTTCCCAGATTTTGAACCTACGTTTATACGTTAGCTACCTATTGCTATATAACAAATCACCTCCAAAATAGCAACTGAAAATAATAAATGTTTATTGGTTCATATCACCTCTGAGGATCAAGTATCTGAGACAACTTGGTTTATCTAGGTAACTAACTCTTGCTCAGGATTTCTCATGAGGCTATGGGCAGGCATTGGTGAAGGCTACAGTCATAGAATCTGCTTCTAACTGCCATCATTAACTGTTGTTAATGGGAGGCTGTGGTTTCTTCATGGCTGTTAATCAATTGCCTCTTTTCCTTGAATGATCATTTTGCCCACAGCATCCCAAGGACATAGTAAGTGACTTCCTTGAGATTTATGGGCTCCAAAGAATATCAAAAATACAAATATATGGGAGGGCCACTGAAACAAAAACCACAGTCATTTTTAATCTTATGTCTTTCAATAAAGAAAGGTAATTATCTGAACTTTTATTAAACATTCTGGACCATTATCTAATTTTCTGCAAAAACAAAACAAAAACTATGTTAATTGGAAGTCTCAGACCAAATAAGAATACCTGTGCATTTTTTTTTTTTTTTGGTTTGTAAAGATAGAGTCACTCTTTCCTCCAGTAGCTTGCAAATTGCCACCTAGCACCATGAATGGTAATCAGTCAATGTGAAGCATTTAGTTGGGCACCAGCTCAATTTCTTCATGTTTAATGATGTAAGGAAAAAGACAATCACCAATATCAACCATCTACAAATCCTGTGACCTACAACAGGGACCTGCCTTTAGGATATACTGCTACAATAGTGGCACAAGTGTTAAGGGAGTAACCCTCTATGATTATCTTGGATTCAAGGTCCTTTCCATGAGATGAAACCCATACCCAACACTGCTAACGTGGCCAAGAGATAGGTTAGGTCATATGTTCTAGGAGAAAGCTACTACTATGATTCTGCTAACAGAACATAGCTATAAAATAAGTGCTATTGACATATTGCTAGACACATAAATCTGCATCACTCAACCCTCATCAGAGAAGTTCTTTTTACAGTTAATGAGAATTAGCACAGAGATCCACAAATGGACAATATTCAGAGAATGAGACTTTATAGCAGTCAGTCTTAAATGGGATGTCTTTGTCAAACATCTCTCCTTGGGATTAGGACATATATGCAAAAAGGTAGGTGAGAAGATTGGAAGAGCCAGAGATGGTGGGTTACTAGGTGTAAAAAAAATGTTGTTATGACACTGAAAAACAGATAACAACATATGCATATGAACCCACAGAGAGGATGACAACATGCACAAGATCTGTCAAACCAGACAACATCCTCTTATTCCTATCTAAGAAGCTATTTTCAGTTGATATCTACTGGAAAAGGGGGAATCAGTTTTCTCCAGTGAAGTGTCACTGGGCATGTCAACCACACTTCAGAGCAAATGCCATGTCCAGGAGTAGCTAACCAACAAAAAATAGACTCCGTGTTTTTTATATGTGTATTTTGCTTGATTTGGTATCTTTTGTCTTACGGGTTTTTGTTTGTATTGATTTTTTTATTTAGTTTTTGGTTTTGAGTTTTTGTTGTTCTTTTAAGAGAAGAGAAAAATTACATGATATTTGGTAAGTAGGAAGATGAGTAGAATCTCAGAAGAATTGAAAGGGGAAATAATATGATCAAAGTATATTGAATGAAAATATTATTTTCAAAATAATAAAATTATCCCACCAAGTGACAAATATGCTTTTCAAAGAAGAAAATGTCACCTCAGCAGCCTATATGTGATGGCAGCTTACTTACGATTTTTCCATTTAATACTTAAGTTTTTATCTGTACTAATCAAGGCATGCTTCATCAAACACCTATCCAGTTACTGCACTTCCTTGCCTACCACTGACACCAGGCATGCTTCATCAAACACCTATGCAGTTACTGCACTTCCCTGCCTACCACTGTCACCAGGCATGCTTCATCAAACACCTATCCAGTTACTGTACTTCCCTGCCTAACACTGTCACCAGGCATGCTTCATCAAACACCTATGCAGTTACTGCACTTCCCTGCCTACCGCTGTCATCATGTGACTAAGCATAAGAAAGTATTTGACACTGGGGAAAAAAATAGCGTTTCTTTGTGTAAGAGTCCTGGCTGTCCTGGAACTCAATTTGTTCACCAGGCTGCATCAGCCTCCTGAGTGCTGGGAATCAAGCAAGGCAGGTGCCACCAACACCAGGCTATGCATTTTCTTAATTCCTTAGGAATCATATTTAGAGTGTGTTAGCATGGTGGGAACCATCATCCACACCAAAGAATTACAGAGGGTGGAGGAGTAAGGTGTAACCAGCACACGGCAGGGCCTGCTGTTTCCTGCACTTTTAGGTTAGCAGATAGCAAGTCATAAGGGTGGATTTGTTCTGTCCCCCACCCGCAAAATGGGAGTTCTTCAGCAATGCAGAGCAGTGTAAACATTTTCCCCCTGACACTTCCTGAGCTGGATAGACTCCATGTGTTAGCTTGGGTAGCAGCCTCAGAGTTTTGCAACAGGGGTTTTGAAGGCCAAACATATTGGCTTTTGTTTCACTGTTTTTTTGTTTTGTTTTGTTTGTGGTAGATTAAATTTAGTGTCTTGTGTCAGCCAGCTTGAAGCTAATCAAAAGAAAATGAATTCTTTTATTTCCTTGGCAAACGAATAGTGCTAAGTCTGGAGTTAAGAGCCTTTGTGCTGGGGCTGGAGAGATGGCTCAGTAGTTAAGAGCCTTTACTGCTCCTAAGGAGGATCCAGTTCAGTTCCTAGTACCCACATGACGGCCTACAACTCTGTAACTCCAGTTTCAGGTGAGCCACACTCTTCTGGCCTCCATGGACACCAAACACGCACAGAGTGTTCATATCACACACTGTAATATGAAAGGAGAAGTTTCAGCTCAGGACACCCAAGACCAAGTTCTCAGCGCAAAGGAGATTTATTTGTCCCAGGGGGACAGAGGGCAGGGAATAGAGAAAAGACAGGACACAGAGGACAGTGGAGAAGGCAAAGGAAACAAGAGGGCTCACAGGCTTGGCACATAGGAAAATGGGGGCTATAAATGTACAAGGGGAACCCCATGCTAGGATTAGTGCTAACTGGGTGAACTAAAGGGGGGTTTCCATTCCTGGACCTCGATAGTTTGAGAGCTGGACCTCGGTAGTCAGCCGCAGGACGGGAAGTAGCCAAATAGGTGAGTAGACCTTGGTGGCTAGCTTAAGGAAAGCAATCAATCTAGTAGTTTTTAGTAAGGCCAAGGGCATCAGGAAGAAGGGCAAAGCTCACCAGAGTCCTAAACATCCATATTAAGTAACAATAAATAAATCTCTCTCTCCCTTTTTTTTTTTTTTTTTTTTTTTTTGCCTAGGATATCTGAGACCTTGTTTTCACTCATCACCACCCAGGCCAGGCATGGTGGTGCAAGCTTTAATCGATGGGGAGGAGGGGGGGGGAGGAGAATCAGAAAATGAAGGTCATCCTTGGCTACATTTCTCATTCAAAGCCAGCTATATGGCACCCTATCTGAAAACCAAAGGTCTTCAGAAGATAAACTTTGTCATATACTATATTTTTACTGCTCATTATATCTCTATAATTTTGGTTGTAAGCCTAGCCTTTAACTGCTGGGCTGTCCCTCCAGCCCTGTTGCTTCTTTATGGTGAATTAACATGGTCAGCCCAAAGGTAGTCTTTGTCCCATACCTGGCACCAGGTGTTTCTTCTCTGTGTGTTATCTGTATAAACTATGATTTTGTTTGTTTGTTTGTTTTTGTTAGACTCTAAGAACAGACATTGTGATGGATGTTGGTCACAGCATTAACCCAGCCCTTGACATAGGTCAGGTATGTGTAACTATTTTGCTTTGTTTCCTGTTTGTGGGACATAAACTGCTGTGAGGACTGAAGAGGAGCCATTCACTTGCTGCTCACCTGAGAACCTTACCCTACTAGGGCTGTGTCTGTTTGAGGTCAGTCAGGGAAGGGTTTCATCTGCCTCATTAGTGGAAAACATGATGGTTATGTGGACAGGCCCTGTGAGGACTCATCTGGAGTTATCATTGCAATGGCTAAGCCAAGACTAAAGCTCCTCTGACTTGGGGTCTAGCACTGAACGGAACATATAGAAATGATTTTAGATGGGCTCCTGGTGACACTCTCCCAGATGCCCTGGAAAGACCCTTGAACTGCCGTTCTCAAGGGCAGACAGGCAGCATGCAGTAGGAAGGCTCTCGAGTTCTCTGCCTCATAGGTAGTCATTCCTTCCTTTCTCTCAGATTGAAGGCGCGTTTATTCAAGGAATGGGACTCTACACCATAGAGGAGCTGAATTACTCTCCCCAGGGCGTTCTGTACAGTCGTGGCCCAAGCCAGTACAAAATCCCTGCCATCTGTGACATCCCCACAGAGATGCACATTTCGTTTATGCCTCCATCTGAACACTCGAACACTCTGTATTCATCTAAGGTAAGCTCCACTCCACGACCAAGTCCGTGCTTACTTGATGTCAGTAGGGTGGACAGACATTGGTCTGCTTGGTTGTTCCATGCCTTTACTGAGATTACAGGAGGATTCTTCTAATTATAAAGTAACTTAACGACATGGTAAAATGCTTCAAATATTCCCAATCTGCCTAACATGAACTATCAGATCCTATTTAGCTTTTTATATTGCAATAATCACCTTCATGCCTCTATGTGCTTGATCTATTTGAAATAATTTTATAAGCTAAAATTATAAGCGGTTAAATTATTTTCCAATAACAATTTACTTATGTGGCCTATAGATTATATATGTATATAATTATTATATACTGCATGTATATACATATTCATGTATGAATGTTTGTTCAGAGAAGGAGAGGCAGTTTGTGTCATAACACACATATGTCATTTCTCTCAAGGGTCTGGGAGAGTCTGGGTTGTTCCTGGGATGCTCGGTATTTTTTGCCATCCGTGATGCAGTGAATGCAGCACGAGAGGAGAGAGGCATCCATGGACCACTGAAGCTTAACAGTCCACTGACTCCAGAGAAGATCCGAATGGCCTGTGAAGATAAGTTCACAAAAATGGTATGTTACCCTCAAGAGAAAACCGTAAAATCCCTCATTTCTTTCCCCTGGCTCTATGGCCAAGTTTCTTTAGTCCAGTGCTGTGGTCTTTCCATAGAAATAAACTGCACAGGAACTCCTCAGGGTCCCCTTGAACTTGTGCGCCTTGGCTGTGTCTTTTCATCAGCCTGGCCTTGCTTGGTTTTCTGTGTGCTTAGGTCATTATCACTTGAGGGGAACTGAAGGTTCCTTCTCTCAGTTTTGTTCCCCTGCCTCAGGCCTAGGAGTTCAAGGGCTACAGCCTGATCCTGGGACACCCAGCCAAGAATCAAGGTCACTCTGCTGTGTTCCCAGTGTCACCCACACAGGCACTGGCAGTGTGAGGGAAAGAACCCTCCCACAGTATTGTTACTGCTGAGCACACACTCCGTGTCTCTGTGAGTCTGTACAGCAGCACGATTTCTGATCTGTGATTGTAAGGGCAGCCATGCCCCTCAGTTACCTCTCTAGCTACAAGACAAGTTTCCTTCTCTTATGGGGGTGTCCCTCCTACACTCCCTCCCCACAGGCTCTGCAGAGGATCCCGGACCTCACAGAGAGAAACAGACACTGACTCTGTTTCCATGTGGAGTTGAAAGCTCTGCCTCCCTCTGCTAGGTTCCCTCTCCAGGAACCTCTACATTACATGATGTTATTCTCTGATCTCATTGGCCCCCACGCCTGTGGTTTCATCTTCATCATCTTCTGCTGTTTTTAACCTAAGTCACAGACATGTTTCTGAACATTAGAAACATTGAAATTTGCTCTTTTTTTTGCAGATTCCTAGAGATGTACCTGGATCCTTTGTTCCCTGGAACACACCTGTGTGAGCCAAATGAGAACTTCCGGATGGACCGGATCAGCTCCACTGCAGATGTACCTCTGGCCTGTCTGTTCTAAGATGTTAACTATGAAAGCCAAATTTTTCACCACAGCCAATCATCCACAGCATTGCTTTACATGAAGCTGACTTGGAAATTTCTCTTCTGGGTGCCCCGGACATACCAAAGCAATTATAAATCATATTTTAAATTGTAGAATTATTAAATTGTTTCCTCTGAGGTATTTTCAATCATTCATGTATTCATAATTCTGCCCCTTGTATCTGTCCAGCTAAATATGACACCTTGTGCCTCACTTTTGGTTTGTTTACACCAGCAGAATCTATACTATATAGTGAATGATAATATTAAAAATAATTTCTTTCCTGTTGTGAACTATAAATTTATTTCTTTCATTTGTTCCTGAGAGCCATCACCCACTTTCTCTGTCAGGACAGATACCAGCCCTTTATCTGGGACCACAGGGGTCAGGAGGAGAGAGACAAATGAATGTCATCAAACTAGAAAGGTGGCCACAACATTCCCACTACTCAGAAGGATAAGGCAGGAGAGTCTACACTCCAAGCCCAGCCTAGAGTACTTAGCAAGACCATGTCCCAACAGAACAAAGGCTAAGGAGATATATATGGAGAGAGAGATAAAGAGATAGATATATAGAGATAGATAGATAGCAGTAGATTAGGAGAAGGTAGTTGCAAATATATAAGTATTATGTACAGAATGCTTACAACATAGTAGTAAAGAACAAACAACTTCAGTTTTTCTTAATGAACCAATAAATTGAGTGGACAGAGATGTTTAAATGGCCAATCAGCACATGACAAGATAATCTGCTTTGTTTGTCCTTGAGAAATGTAGTTAGATGACACTCACATACACTGTGACAGCAGTAGTTGAAACTATGGACAATGGCAGGTGTTAGTGGGACATGGAGAAATTAGAGGCTCTGCCCATTGCTGGAGGGATGTACACTGCACAGACCCTGGAGAGCAGTCAGGCAGGTAAAACATTTAATAATTTCTGCATGATTATTATAGTATTTAATGCAGTTTCACAGATAAATCTATATGCAAACACTCAGATCATTATTCACAACACCCAAAAGGTAGAAAAATATTCCCCCAACTGATAATGTTTAATAAATAAAATTTAATACAGTCACAAAAGTGAATTCATTCAGTCCTTCAAAGGGATAATGTATTGATAGACACTACAGGAGATGTGACAGGTGAAACCATATAAAATGTAAGTGAATACGCAGAAAATGACATCTATATTCCACCTATATAAAAGGTCTCAAATTGGCAAGTTCTCAAAGATGAAGTGGGTGAGTAGTTGCTAGGGCCTGAGGAGACAAGGGACTGGGAGTGACTTCTCATAAACGTGGGGTTTTCATTGGTAGAGATTTCTGTAGGGCAATCAGCTGACTCATAGATGTTGTTTCACTTTGCTGTCTGTTACTGTTATAGATACCATGACCAAAAGCAACTTGGGAGGAGAGTTTTTTTTTTTTTTTTTTTTTTTTTTTTTTTTTTACTTACACGTCCCGATCACAATTGATCATTAAGGGCAGTAAGGGGCAAGAACACAAGCTGGAGTGGAGACAGAAGCCATGGAAGAGTGCTGCTTACTGGCTTGCTCTCCATGGCTTGCTCAGCCTGCTTTCTTTCTTTCTTTCTTTTTTTCTTCCTTCCTTCCTTTCTTTCTTTCTTCCTTTTCATGCTTCCTTTCTTTCTATTTCTTTTGTAAATTTCTTTTTTTTATTTTTTCATATTTTACATATTGACTGCAGTTCCCTCTCCCTCCATTCCTCCCTCTCTCCCTCCCATATTCTTTTGTGTTTGGATGGAATGTTCTATAGATGTATGTTAAACCCAATTGGGACACAAAGTTAGTCCTTTTGTTTCTTTGTTAAGTTTCTGACTGGTGGTCCTGTCCTGTGTTGAGAGTGGAGTGTTGAAATCTTCCACTATGAGTGTGTGAGGTTTTATGTGAGCTTTGAGTTTTAGTAGCATTTTTTTTTTAAACAAATGTGGGTGCCTTTGCATTTGGGATATAGAAGTTCAGAATTGAGACTTTGTGCTGATGGGTTTCTCCTGTGATGAATACAAAATGACCATCTTCATCTCTTTTGATTGATTTTGGTTTGAAGTCTAACTTGTTAGATATTAGGATAGCTACACCTGCTTGCTTCTTGGGTTCATTGGATTGGAAGATCTTTTCCCAACCCTTTACCCTGAGGTAATGTCTGTCTTTGAAGCTGAGATATATTTCTTGTGCAGCAGGATGGATTCTGTCTTCATATCCACTCTGTTAGTCTGTGTCTTTATAGGCAAGTTAAGACCATTAATGTTGAGTGAATGTAAGGACCATTGATTGTTTTAGAGTTGTTGGCGGTGGTATTGTGACTATATTTACCCTGCTTTATCCTTTGGGTTCTGGTGAAGTGGGATTATCTATTTCCTATGTCTTTGTGAGCATCGTTAACTTCCTCGGGTTGGAGTTTTCCTTCCAGAACTTTCTGTAGGGTTGGATTTGTAGATGCGTATTGTGAAAATCTGGCTTTGTCATTGAATATCTTGTTTTCTCTGTCTATAGTGATTGCGAGTTTTGCTGGGTTAGCCTGGGCTGGCATCCGTGAACTGGTAGTACTTGTAGAACATCTATCCAAGACCTTCTGGTCTTGAGAGTTTCCATGGAGAAGTCAAGTCTAATTTTGATAGGTCTGTGTTTATATGTTACCTGGCCCTTCTCCTTCGCTGCTCTTAATATTCTTTCTTTATTCTGTATGTTCGGTGTTTTGATTATTATGTGTCAAGGGGTCTTTTTTCTTTGGTCCAGTCTATTTGGTGTTCGGTATGCTTCTTGTACTTTCATAGGCATGTCCTTCTTCAGATTGAGAAAGTTTTTTTTCAATGATTTTGTTGAATATGTTTTCTGCACCTTTGAGCTGGGCATCTTCTCTTTCTTCTATGCCTATTATTCTTAGGTTGGTCTTTTCATGGTGTCCCACATTTCCTGGATATTTTGTATTAAAGATTTGATGGATTTAAGATTTTCTTTGGTTGATGAATCTATTTCCTTTGGTTTATCTTCAGCACCTGAGATTCTCTCTTTGATCTCTTGTATTCTGTTGGTTATACTTGCATCTGTAATTCCTGATCATTTGTCCAGTTTTTCTATTTTCAGCATTCCTTCAGTTTGTGTTTTTATTTTATTGTCTCTATTTCAGTTTTCAAATCTTGAACTGTTTCCTTCATCTGTATAATTGTTTTTTTTTTTTTTCTTGGCTTTCTTTACTTTCCTTAAGGAATTTGTTCATTTCTTCCAATTTTTTTGTTTGTTTTTTCTTCCATTTCTTTAAGGGATTTCTCCTATTGTCTTTGAGGCCCTCTATCATTTTTATGAAGTTGTTTTTTAAGTTGCTCTCTTCTGCTTTGTCTGCTTTGGTGTATTCATGTCTAGTTGGTGTAGAGCTCCTAGATTCTGATGATGCCATGCTTGTCTTTCTATTGTTAGGTGTTTTCTTGTATTGCTGTCTTCTTATCGCTTCTTCCAGTGTGTGCAGGTGGGTGTTTCTCTCTCTCTCTCTCTCTCTCTCTCTCTCTCTCTCTCTCTCTCTCTCTATTCTACTCTCCCGGTGGGTGTAGGTGGGTCAGGAGTACAATGTCTGTAACTCTGGATGGTCCAAGCTCTTTAGGAGGTCTCTCCTCCGGCAGAGGCTCAGCAATGGGGTCAAAGATCAGGCAGGCGGGGACTCAGGGTGGTCCTGTGTGATAGGCAGGTCCAGTGTGCTCAGTGCAGATCCAGGAAGCTCCCTGGAGGTGAAGAGGATATTGGACCTACACTCTGGCCCAGTATTCAACCAGAGCAGTGGAGCAGTGGGCACTGGGGCGGGGCGGGGTAGAGTGCAAGTTCTGGGTGAGGTGGTTTGTGGATCAGAGTACTAACTAGACTGTTCTGTCTGGGGACAGGATATATGGGGAGCAAGATTCGAGGCTAACCCAGGGAGTTCCCAGGGAAGGGTGAGAGGAGATTTGACCTGAACTGGTCCCAGACTCACCTCCAACAGAGGCCCCGTGATGGGGGTCAAAGATCAGGCAGGCAGGCAGCCTGCTGTCTTAATCACCCCAGGGACACCAGCACAGGAGTGGCCCTGCCACACTGGACTATGTCAATCATCAGTCATGAATATGCCCCACAGCCCTGCCTGCAGACCAATCTGATGGAGGCATTTTCTCAATTGTCATTCCCTCCTCCCAAATGAAGCCAAGGTGTGTCTTATTGACAAAACCAACCAGCACGGACCCTAAGAGAATCAACTTCCAAGCTGTGGATTTTATCCCAGACATTTCTCCAGCACCTGTGGAGAGAAACAGAAAACTTGAGGAAGTTGTGACTGGCAGTCTGTAGAGCTGGGGACAAGGACTTGACCTTTCAATCTGAATGAATGCAGGGAACAGAAGTAGCATGAAGCATCCTTCCATGTTAAGAGATCTCACTGAAGTCTGTCGTGTCAGGTGGCTGAGGACAGGATAAACAGGCAGGGATAGTTCTATGATTTCTCCTTGGCAGCTGCTTCCCTTGTGGCCCTTTGCTGGTGTTTCCTGCAGCCCAAACCTCCAAGTGAAGTGTGGGTCTCCTGAGGTGGATCCTTCTTTCTCCTCACCCCACACCCTGATGCCAGCAGTGACCACCACTCCGTGGTTAGAAATGGTTCTACTGCTGAGGCTCTAACTCTGAACACACTGCTTTGATGGTGACAAAGGGGACCTTTAGACAAGATCTGTTGATGCTGCCTGGCAGGAATTTGTTCTATATACCACACATACCTCAAACTCATGGGCTGGCATCACAAGTACATGCCACAATTTGCTGCAAGTCTTTTGTTGATTGTAACTTGGATGTCTCAGCCCCTCAGCCCCCATGTGTCCCAAATAGATCTCCTAATAGTAGAACCATCTCTAGTTGCTAGCCAGAAATGGAGAATCAGAACTGTCTGATTTGGGAACATATCTTTGCAGGCATGACAGCCTGTCAGTCCCCCTCAGAAACAGTTCTTACTGCAAGCCACCTGCATTTGCCCCTGGCTATTGCAATAGTTGCCTCTTGCTTTTCTTGCATTCATTTTTTTTTGTTTCCCTTCCAAATAGTTCTCCACATTGAAGCCAAAGTTTTGTATGGACTTATGGATACAAATCTTTATCCATTCTGCACACATGCATAGGCCACATGCACATGCAGTGCTCTTGGCTATTAACCTCCAGTGGCATCCTATTCGCCTCATTAGGATCTTATCCCGAGTTCCTATGGTGCATATGTACACTATGTGAGTTAG